GCGCACCGCGCGCGGCGGGATGCCTGTCTTGAAGTGCTCATAGCGCATGCCCTTGAACCCCAGCTCGGCGCCATTCTCGTCGCGCGGCGGGCGCAGCGAGCGGGTCGACGACCGCGACCTCTGCTGGGGTGGGCGCTGCCGAGCAAGCGCGTCGTTCATCGCAATCTATGCGCAATGTCGGCTGCACCGGTCCCTGCTCGCGTCCATTCATCGACTGGCGCAGCCAACCGCGATACCACAAACACGCGTCCGTTGGGGGCTCGAAGGAGGAGGCAGCGCTCGTGTACGCGCGGAGCACCACTGCGCACTGCACACGGCGGACGCTGGCTATAACACACGGCAGAGCACATGCAAGGAAAGGGGCATCTCAAACGCCAGCACACGGCATGGGTGTTGTCCGGCAGACGGCCAAGCGCGTCGCATGTCGAGACCGCTGTCCTGCTATACTCGCGTCTCTAATGCCCGCCGTCGTTGGGGGAAGCCATGCCCCCCGCGCCGTGCACCTGTGTCGTGCTGCGCATGGCCACTGACACGGCGCGCTCCCACTCCGCTGGGCGCGGCGAATGGTGGCCACTGGCCAGAAAAAGACAGGGCAATGCGCAACTGCGCGAGTGAAGTCGGCAGGGCCAGGACATCCCGCCTTCTGAGCCTCATTAAACTTGTCAATGCTGCAGCGGCACGTCGGCTTCCTGCTGCAAAACGAGTCAAATCCGCGGCGACTACTGCCCACGAATCGCTGCTCCAAGACGACAAGTTCAACGCTCGGAGCTGCATTTCTTGTGATGGATTGTGTTCAACCTGCCGTGGTACGACATGCTGACCTGCAGAACCTACGACCCCGACACGTTTCGAATCGTCGTGCGGCATATGCATGCACTCTTCACTGCACTGCCGTCTCACTTTCCGCTCGCTGCAACCTGACTCAATTCGACATACCGCACACGGGATCCTCAACTCCTCAAGGCTTCGGCAGCTATGGCCTCAGACTGCTTGCCGAGAACGATGTGACTACGAGTCTTGGGACTGCACTTCGTAGTTGTGCCAAACTGACACAATCGATGCAGGGCTAGCGGGCACTCAGGTCCGCCAGCAATGACCATATGTTCTGCTTCCCGAACAGAAACACATACACTGCTCGTTCTCGGCGCGGCATCTGCTCTGATACGACGACCGGCCCGGAGAGGTTGCTGCTGCCAGAACTCCCGTGGTCTAGATGGCATTATGTGCCCGTCCGTTGCTTGTCACACACACCAACGGTCTCATAGCTGTTGCACACCGCCGATCGAGAGTTCGGTGAGTGTGCATGCACGGGAATAGCAACTCACCTGAGCATAGGTCAAATTTTGGCCATCCATCATACGTTCTCTCGAGAGCGCTACTTGACACTGCAAAACTGCGTGACATCCAAGTTACCGTGCCGTAAAAATTCGAGCACAGTGCTATGAGCAGAAATCGTTTAATAACAGTCGTGACTGAGATGCGCTGTGAGACCACGGCTCGGGTTCCTCTGCGCTGGACCAAAGCCATCTGGCTCTTGCATGGTGAAGAGTGAAGTCGCACCTGTCCAAAACAGCGAGCCAACTGCACAACACAACGAGCGAACTGCACAAGAGCCCACCAGGGCTGCGATGAGCAGACTCTAGAAGGTGAATCGAAGAACGTTCAAATTGGCTGACAGCGAGCACGAGCACGGGGAAGGCAGATACCACGTTCAGCTCCGGGTCCAATCTCACAACCAACTTGTCGGCCGTTGACAAGGGAAGAGAGTTCCTTCATTCAGGGCAAGTGATTCATGGCCAGTAGTCTGCTCACCGAAGAAGACCGACCGCGCTCCCAGAGCAGCCTCAAGCAGTCGCCCTACATCGAACCAGCAAAACTCCTCCAGCAGGCTGCTTCGCGGATATTCCTCCCCATGCCCGTCGCCACTCTGCCCGAACATGATCGACTTTGTCACTAGAGTGCCTTGCCTGTCACTGGCTCAGCAACATCATCATAAGCAGATAAGGAATCCTGCAATTGCGTCGCCACCGCGTGGCAAGCGAGGTGGTCCGACCAAAAGTTGGAGAGCTCTTATCTCGCATGGCCTTCGCTACACTGCACCTCCTTGCAGCCCAAGCAGATGGGCCCGATTCACCGATCGATCCTTACAGGACCACAATACATGCTTGACAATGTCTTGCTGTTTTGCTTGTCATGCGCACGCGATCTTGTCTTGCTTGGTCAGGAGTGCATCAGGAACAAGACCGATTGCATGTCTAGCTGAAGCTTGGTCATGTGAAGTGGATCTAGGATCAAGTACACGACATCACGACATCACAACAGCAAGAACGTGACTACAGTAGTAGGGGACATGTACACCGAGAACTTTGAAATGCGAAAGTCTAGGTCTAATATAAACAAGAAATACGTACATCGCTATAAATGTCGCTGGCTCATCCACATCCTACAGTGTAAATCATCAAACAGCCGACGAGGTGAAGCGCCGCTGACACTGTGATCAAACCATCTGACTGAGCGTGTGCTGTTCTGGTATCTCGGAAAATTTCAAAACTCTTTTCTAGCCAAAAGAGGTCCCAAGCATATACAAATTAGAAACGATGCAAAAGAAACGATTAATGGCCACCGCTTTGAGCTTCACGCTTGGCCTTCTCCATCTCCTCATATGCAATACCATGTCGGTCACCACCGATACCGGTATGCGCCGTCCCTTGTTGGCTGCTGCCTTCGCTGCCGTTGGGGTCTTTGCCTTCGAGCATGTCGCTGTGGCCTTGAATGCCGTGACGATCGCCTTGGGGAACATCGGCTTCGCCCTTGTTGACGTCGCCGTGGGCTGGTGTCCAGGCGAGGTAGTCACGACGGACTTCGACATAATCGTAGGCGAACTCGCCGAGTTGGTCGTCGTCCATACCGAGAAGCTCAGCTTCGTCGGAAGCACGGAGCTTCATGCCGGGGATGAAGTTGATGGCGTAAGCGATGATGGCGCTGACGACGAATGAGTATGCAGTGACGGCGGCGATGTAGGCGACCTGCTGGCCGAGTTGGAGCCAGTGGCGGTGGATCCAGCCACCTGGGAAGAGATCGGTGTTGACGCCGTCGAGACCGATCACATAGGTTGCGCCGAAGACACCGTTGAAGAAGAGACCGACCATTCCGGCGACGCCGTGCTCAGCGAACACATCCATCGAATCGTCGATGCGGATCCAGTACTTGATCTTGGTGGAGAAGTTGGCAACTACGCCAGTGGCGATACCGAGGATGACGGAAGCCCAGAGTGGGAGGAAACCAGATGCTGGAGTAGCAGCGACGAGTCCGGAAATGGTTCCAGAGCACCAGCCGACCATCGACCACTTGCGAGCAAGACGCCAATCGAGGACAACCCAAGTCATAGCAGCGAACATGGCAGTCAAGTTGGAGTTCCAGCAAGCGTAGACAGCGCGGAGGTTGGCACCGAAAGATGAACCACCATTGAATCCGAGCCAGCCAAACCAGAGGAAGACAGTTCCGAGAGTGATGAGCGAGACGTTGTGTGGACGGAAGTTGAGCATCATCTTCTCCTGGCGTCTTCCCAGAACCATCGAGTAGGCGAGAGCAGACATACCGGAGACGATCTCGACAGGACCGCCACCAGCGTAGTCGAGCACACCCCACTTGAAGGCCCAACCGTTCGCATTCCATACCCAGTATGCCACCGGAGAATAGACGATCGTCGCCCAGAAGAAAATAAACACCATCGCGGGCATCAACCTTCCACGCTCAGCCACAGCACCCATAATAATCGCCGCCGTGACAGCGCAGAATTGCATTTGGTAGAACGAATATAGCAAGTCGGGGATCAGAGGGCTTCCTTGCGAAGGTACTGCGAGTGTATTCTTGAGGCCGAATTTGTGAAGGTCGCCGATGAAGGAGTTCGATGCTGTGCTGCTGAAGGCGAGAGTGTAGCCCCAGAAATACCATTGGAATGTGATGATGGAGTAGGAGCCGAGACAGGCGAAGATCATGCTCAATGCTGACTTTCTTCGTGCGAGGCCTGAGTAGAGGAAGCCGAGACCGGGAACCATGACCATGACCATGGCGGAGGCTACGATGATGTAGGATGTGTCGCCGGCTGCGAACCATTGGTTCAGATTTTCTACCGCTGTGACATTGTCAGTTTGTGTTTCGTTTTTGGTGTCCAATCTTCGAATTGCTCCTTCTCCATTGCGGCGAAGTCGAAACCCGAGGTAGTTCTTTACTCACAGCTGTCGCCTCCTGTGTTTTCGTTGGTGCCATTGAATTCGGCTGGAGCACCAATCCAGCTATAGCTGGGTGCGTACCCGCCAGACATGTTGTGTGTCGTTCGAGATCGTCTCCAATGTGTGGTGTATTCGAGTGAGGTCGGATGCGGCGTTCGAAGCCCTGGTTGCTATGCGAGCCCGTTCAGGCACGTAAGCTGAGAATGCCGCTGATAAGATGCAACCCAACTTCAGTCTCAATAAGAAAACTGAATGTGCAAACCCAATTGCAGTAATACTGCAAAAGTGTTTCAAAGAAAGAGGTTGAGGGTGCGTGTGTGAAGTGAGGCTCAGGCCAGAAGAAGCTCTGGATCGGCTGGAAGGTCCAACGCTGGCTATATGATGGATGGGTGGAAAGGATACTTCCACCTGCCGAGCCACAGATCGTCGACTAACTCTCGCTTGTAGGGTCCTGCGCTGTGGCCAAGCTAGAGATAAGGGCGCCGAGAGGTGGTGACTGAAGAAAGGCTCCAAAGAAAGACTGATAAAGGCGCGTGGATTTGGCAGTGCCACACACCCCATGGGAGCGAGCTCTCAAGCTAAAATCTACGCTTCCTTGTCGCTGCGCTTCCACTCTCGCGCGGCAAGCTGGGCCATTCTGTTGGGCCACCCTGTCTTCCGACGATGGGATCCACGCATGCACGTTCGCCTGAGCCTTAATTCTGCTGCGAACCCTGGAAACCCTTTTGGGAGGCACGCCAAAATAGCCCCAGCGTGGTACAGCTGTGAGACCAGTGCTACCGCTCACACACCGCACCCCAATCGACATCCGTGCACTGTCAGCAGCGAGATTGGGAATCATGCTTCGTTTTTTTCCTGTTCACTATCTTCTCTCCCGTGCCCAGCGCGCGACGCGGTTGGCAGGCGTGGGAAATCAAGCATGACGGACATGTTCTGCTTGGGCGCCCCCAACCGAGGAAAAGCATCAGCTCGTGTGCCCTCTTATCTTTTGACGTACACGATGACTGCACGTTTAAAGTCACAACGAGAAGTGAGGATAAAGGTCCTGCATAAGCATCCGGCGTCAATTGGTTCGGAGGACAAGGTTCAGAACGGCCGCTATGCCACGGAGAGTAGACCTCGTTCCTTCAGTGCGACCCTGATTGGACGCAGATAGGAACTCGCATTAGCCTACGATCTGCTTCCAGCAGCTACCGAAGAGTTCAACACTGTTCGACAACCATTCGAGGTGCGATTTGGTTCTTATCAGCAGGCGTGGAACGAATACATATGCCAATTACGCCTCGAGTCTTGGGCGTGCTTTGCCTCGAGCCCTCGATCGCTTGTCATCGAGGGAGGAATTGCTCAGCTCGTCGTACTACTGGTGCTCGACTGCCGAAATGCGATCCTCATACCACTTTCTTACACTTGGCATTGGAAGACAAGCCAACCGCTCCGCACGCACTTGCATCCTCCCCGCCCGGTGACCTGGAGAAGACCGGACGCTGCAGTCAAGGAAGCACGCATGCCATCATCGAAAAGGAACCATCTCCAGTAGCTTGACGTGAAAGCTTTACGGCAAGGTCGATTGACTGTCTGGATCTGGATCCTCCGATATCCTCCGACCGGCATCTGGTTGGCTTGGCATCTCGGTGTTGGGGAAAAGCCACTCTTCATCGCGCCTTTGCCGCGTGCGCCTTTTCCTTTGTTGATCGGGACACTCGACGTCACTGCTTCCGCCAGTTCACGATTTGCGTCGCCGCTGCGAGCTCAACATCGCCGTCGTTCTGCCCGCAGAGAGAGCGGTGTAGCGGATGTTGTTGAGCATCAACGTCACGCACTGCCAGCTGTGAAAGGATGTCCATAACGCGGGCGCGGAATGATCTGCTGACGGGGATTCCCACCCGCGCAGATTGGCAAAAGGCACCACCACATCCGTGCCATCGGCCTTCCCCATGGATCATGCACGCTCCTTTGCTGCAGGAGTCGGGCTCACTGCAGCCAACACATCCTTTCACCACACAGGCTTAACGCGATTGTAGCTGAAACTCCTTTGGGCGCAGAGGAGGACACCAACAATTGATCGACTGATGCTATCCTGGGATCCTCTGCAACACCTTTGACACGTTTCAATGTCGTTCCAACATCGGCACTACGGCGCGTGTCCGTGTCTTGTCCGACCATGTGCGGAAAACCTTTTTTATCCTCCGAACTTACTGACAATTTGCGAACAGTCACTCACACTGTAGTATTCAGTATTGACGAGCCACAGCTGCAAGAAGCAGAAGATCGTGACATTCCGGAGACAGCCAAGCCCTTCCGATATCGTGCACCTAGCTGGGGCTTCACATTGAAACGAAACAAACTTGCCGCCAGATTCCGAACCACAAGGTCTACAGAGACATTCCAACCGCTGTCACATGTGTAACGGCGTTGGCGTAACTTGGCCTTCTCTTGGACAAGACAAGCCCATGTGCGTGACACTTTGATAGCACACCATCGAAAGCATGGCACAGTCCTCTGTGTTCGACATCCCAGCGCCTGGGCAGAAACCAGCATGGAAGAATGCGCAGCACGTCAGCACCAGAGTATAACCTTGTTTCCCCATTTCCGACGCCCAGATCCGTACTGAACTGGGTACAATCCTGCCTGAGGAACAATCGGCTGATCTAAGTATGGACCGAAGTCCATGGATCTTCCATGCATATATTGCGCCTTCGACTCAGAAAACCTCCGGTGACATTTTTGATTAGAAGGTCGTCTGTGCATTGGTATTTGCAAACTGCGATATGCTTGATTGTATAAGAGAGCACGCGAGACAAGCAAGAAACCAAGCATGGCGAAGCAATAACGTGAAGTAGATTGATCCCAGGTGGCTTTGTGGGGATATGGGTCTGGAGAAATAGATTGCAAGATTGTGGCAGACGCCTGGTGGGGAAGCCGCAAATTATGCGTTGTCATCAATGGGGAAGCCTAGGGACCACGTGGGTTGGTGTCGCGGTGGGCTTGATAGCGGGTACATCAAATTGCTCATGAGCTCAATTGAGGTGTTGGCTCGAAAAAGGTGAGTCTTGAACAGTGGTATGTGTTGTGGCATCAAATTCGCTGTAGTCCACAAAATGCAGACGTCTGCGATCAACGATTAGCTAGTCAAAAATTCTGCATGCGCTGTCATAAATGCCCAGTTCCCGAACGCGCCATGCCATGGTCTATCTCTAATAAACTGCATTGAATGGAATCGTATCCTTCTGACGTTTCAGATCATCCCAGGCACCAGAATCCTGCTGCAACAACCAGCACGAAGGAGCCAGCAAATCGGGCAATACGTGGCGCATCACCTCTGGGTATATTCCCAGTCGCAGCATCACCCAAATACCATGCTCCAATGTCGGTGAGCTCGCCTTTCTGCGTCAACATGGCGCTGTTGGGGCCAACATTCGAGACTGAGGACCGGAACGCTCCGAAATAGGAGTAGTGCGTTATGTAGCTGGTTATGGTCAGTTTGTAGATCATCAGATCAGAAATCCCGGGATGAATGCTTACTCTATCCTGTCAAAGAACGCAACAGACTGATTATAAAAGTCCTGCGTATCCTCCAGCTTCTGATCCGGAAAACCCCATTCTGTCACCCACATGGTCATATTTTGATACGTTGCATTCACTTGACCAACATGGCTCGCCAGTCCTTGGAAATCTCCATACCAGTGAATCGGGATAAAATCGGGCGTACATTTTCCATCACATGCTGTGAAGAAGTTCCGCAACCAATTGAAACCCGTGGGGGCACCCGTCACACCTGGCGCACCCAACTTGACGCCCAAATCTTTCAGAGGTTCGATTTCACGTATCCAAATCTCTGCTGCTGTTTCTGCGTCTAGGCATGATCCGCCGTATACGCCGTGACACCCGTCGGGTTCGTTGAAGCCCAGGACCCAGGTTACATTTCGACCGCTGTCGATTTGGTTTTTGACTTGGGTGTAGAAGTTTTGGTTTTTGGATTGTGCTTCTCCCCAGAGCATGGGGACGAATTGGAGGGGCGTGTTATCGAGTGCTGGGTCCGGCGTTGGCCCCCAGTTGTAGTACCATGTTAAATCGCCAGAGGTCCAGAAGTGGTTGTCGCTTGCTTCGCTCGTTTCGACGTGGGCGAGGCCGCGTTTTGCGGAGGTGGATACTGTTTGTGAGAGGACGTGTGGGACGAGAGAGAGGGTGAGGAGCGCGACGGAGCGCATCGTCGTTCGTATCATGAGGGCTGGACTCTCAGCATCTGCGTCTGTAGCTCGAGATGATCAATAATGCTCCTCTGCCTGCTCCGATCCCAGCTCTTGCAGACTGCGTCCTCGCCTAGCCTTCAAGCGAGTCGCTTCGCACGCGAACAGAAACACCAACGAAACGAGATACGAAAAGGACAGAAAGATACTTGCGCTGATGGACTCATAGGGGAGGGAGACATCTTTGGGAGAGCGACTCGTCGTCCGCGGACTGCACTTGTTCCAGAAAAGACGCGTCTTGGAAGCCTTGGGAGGGCGGCAGTCTTTCGACTAAGAAGAAGAGTTTGGCCAGATTGGGATGTGGATGAGAGAGGAGGCGCTTTTGAATTGGTCCAGATGGAGTCAAGCTGCCGCGGAAGTGCTGTTTTCGGCATCTCGGCCACGCTTGACAATATTTGGTGCAGCACCGGAGCGTGTGATTGAGACATTTTCGGACTCATCATTGATCTTGTATGTAAGTGTCGAGACGCAATGCGATAATTGTTTACTTGCGTCGTCGTCTTTTCCCTGTGGCTACACGGCACGGCAGCAAAAGTCCCGAGTAGGTTTCAGACCCTTCCGAACTCTATCCTTGATCTTCCTCTCATCATGCAACTGCTTCCGTATTTCCGTTCAGCTCTTTGCTGCGATCGCGGATCAATAATATTAATAGCCTGATGAAGCTCCGGCATACAGTGTAGTCGCGTCAACTACAGGTGAGGTGCCGTGAGTCCGAAAGTGTCAGGATATGCCAAAAGACAAGGTGCTACTCCGCCATGTAGGCATCTGCCGAAACTAGTGTCTCTGGAGCTCAGCATCGAATACTCTACCTTCAACCGATTAACGGCATCTTCAAGACTCAAGAGAGCTCGCACGTTGCCTTCTCTGGTCCTTCAGGATGCAGCAACTTTGGCAGGACGAAGCATGCCAACGAATCATCAACTGGAAGGGCGCATGATGAAGGATGATGAAAGATGATGAAGGATCGACCCTACATGGAACATATAGAGTTTGCTGTAGACCCCGCAAGCTGGTAATCGACTACATTCTGATGTAAGCATCTTACTGGAAAAATCGGCCGGACGAACATCAAGAAGATATATCCTCGCCTGCTGCACTGCCAAGGCATATTCACTACGCAGACGCGGGCTGTATTAGACAACGAGATTTCTATTGTACCAAGTTTCTGAATTCCATTGGCTAGTGCCTGCAAAGACGACTTCAAAAGATGGCAGCTCCTTTGAAGGTGGTCATAGTTGGTGCAGGACTAGGCGGGCTTGCTGCAGCTATTGCTTGTCGACACGGAGACTTGGAGGTCACTATCTTGGAACGGGCTGCCAAGATTGGTAACGTGTGTCCTTGAGCTTAGTGCAAGCTCGTGCTGAGAGCTCTAACAAGTGTGATCAGGTCGGTGCTGGCATTCAGATACCTCCCAACAGTTCGAAGACTTTAAAACGGCTGGGCGTACTCTCGCAGATTGAAGAATCGGCGACTGCGTTGGAGTCTTTTGATGTCAGGAGGTATGCCGATGGGTCGCTTCTTGTTCGCAAGCCCTTGGGAGAAACGTCGATCAGGTTGTTTGGTGAGCAGTGGAGGTATGTAAAATCTACATTTGACCGCACGCAATACCAACAGGTGCACAGGGTTATTCACCGGGAGGACTACCACGCCATCTTGCTAAATGAAGCCACGCGATTAGGTGCTAAACTACAGCTCGATGCTCAAGTTGAGAAGGTCAACGCCTCAGGAACTGAGTTGACCATGAAAGACGGCTCGACTCTGCGGGCTGATGTGGTCATTGGAGCTGATGGCGCCTTTGCTCCTGCACCCATAGCCAGATGATCGCGTGCTAATCGCTTCACAGGGCTTTGGTCGTCCTTGCGTGAGAGCATCATGAACAAACCATCTCCGCCCACTGAATATGGGGATCTTGCATATCGTGCCACTTTCAGCCGCTCACAGCTCGAAGCGCTGAACGACCCCAGTGTTGAAGAGATGTGTGCCGAGAAGCGCGCTGTTCTGTGGCTAGGTCCGGACAAGCACTGCATCTTTTACCCGATTCGCGCAGGTAGTGCCTTCAATCTGGTTCTGCTACGACCAGATGATCTTCCAACGGGTACAAGAACCGCTGAAGGGGACATTTCAGAGATGAGGGCGACGTTCGATGATTGGGATCCGACGTAAGTACCTTGACAATCGATCGAGCTTTGTGATGGCGCCTATGGGACTAATATTGACAACCCTAGGCTCAAGGCACTAATATCGTGCATTCCTTCCGTACTCAAGTGGAAGTTGATGCACCATGAGGAGCTGGAGACGTGGGTCCAGGTGTGATCACCCATGATCATCTATTACCACGCAAAGCTGATCACTGTCCAGGGCAACGCAGTACTGTTGGGCGACGCATGCCATCCGACGCTGCCATATCAAGCCCAAGGAGCAGCTATGGCTGTAGAAGACGGCGCCGTTCTTGGATACCTCCTCAGCGTATATCAGAGAGATTTGCAAGCTGAAGACGGAAAGCTTCACGCCGAACCGATAACGTCGGTACTCAAGCTCTACGAGAAAATGCGTAAGAGACGGACTACTTTGAATGTCGCAGGCGCAGACCAGAACAGGATTTTCTACCACATGCATGATGGACCAGAGCAGCAAGAACGTGACGCTGAAATGGCTGGTTTTGATTTCGAGAAGGGGAGGTCCTCTCACGGTTGGCTGGACTCGGAATACAACAAGGACCTCCTGGGCTACGATGCGGTTGAGGATGCTGCTGCAGTTTACCGGCAATGGCGTACACCTACGGCTTCGCAGGATGCTCCATTCGGGAAGACTGTTCAAGTGCGCTGAGGGGAGTACAGCGCGTCCATACACGCAAGCTAAGACCAATCAGACGTCGATTGAGAGCGGAGACTGCGCTGCCAAGACGGCGCTTGCTGTGAGAATACAGGCGGTTTGTGCTTCATGAAGGTTTCTTGCATGTATCTGACCCGGAGTAGATAGCCGCTCAGTCCACCAGGCGAGAACATAGCATACTGAACGATAGTATCGAATTGATCCTCGGACTGGGGCAGTACGATGTGTTGCAATACCAACTGGGCAAGCGACCAGTATCTCGGTACTGCTTCCTGTTTCGACGTTTGAGAACGATCGATTGGTTGGTCCATATGCGTGAAAGTGGAGTGCGATAGCGTAGCTATTGCGCAGGAACAAGGATCCGACCACGAGGAACTTGAATCGAGCGATCTTGGCAGATCCTCCTCGCTTGCTCTGCAACAACATGCCTTGATGGAACTCCCAACCAGCGCAGCAACGAGAGCCTGAGAGCTGAATGTGGGTAGCTGGCGCATCTCTGGCCCCAATGCAGCGACTATGGCGTTGAACGCCACTAACTCTGCGGTGCCGGCCGCCGAGAATGGCAAAACGAAGGCGAGGCCAAATCCGAGGCGGAGAGCATCAAAGATGAAGCAGGCCGACACGGCCTCTGGAGCTGGTTCAGCGTGGAAAGCTGAAGTGCCTACTAAACCTTCGCCCAACTCATCCGCTTGTTATAAGCCAGGAACGAACATATCAAAAGCGTCACGAGCAAAGCCAGATATATCGAAGCAAAGTGGACGTGGTGCCAATTTACATCCAAAGAGGTCAAAGTCAAACTTGCAACCCGAGGCAATAGAAAGTGCACATGCCACTGATAATGCAAAATCACAAAGCAATACCGGTCCTCTGGCACTCGCAGCTCCAGCAGTAGTCACAGGTGGTCTGCTCGGCTGTGCCGCTGGAGCTGCCGTGATCCTAGGGGCCGGCATATGGAAGAACTTCGCAGGAATCGACAATGCCATCCTCGCAGCAAGAACCGCAAAGCTCTGCGTCGACAATCTTATCGAGGAGATCATCACGAGCCTCAAAGCCGGCACATACAATGCCCCAGAGGCTCTCGACATGCTGAGACGCACAACACTCGCGTATGCCAGTTCGATTCCTGGTGGAGCTCCGCTTGTTGAACGCATTTTCAGAGAAGTGGAGATGGTACGCAGGCAACGTGGTCCAGAAGTGGATAAAGTACTTGGAGAGGCATATCTTGAAATTGCGCGGGCGCAGAAGAAAGGTGCTAGTGCCGATGAATTGCAGAGTATGGTTTTGAAGCAGGCGATGAAGCTTTCCACTTTCGCCACGAAGGCTACACAGGATGTGCTCGCGAGAAATCCGAAATGGAGGCCTTATCGGGACGAGGCGAAAAAGGCTCTGAGAGGACCGCCCGAGAGCAAAGTGCCTACGGTGAAGGTCAACATGGCGGTTCAGCAGAAAGGTTTGCAAGTCAAGTAACCATGTTAGGGTTTTACTGCTCAAGCCAGGGCTGTATCAGATCATGAGAATGGACCGGCTGCGGAAAACATGCAACGCGGCATGATAGTTTGCACTAGCAGTATAACATTTACACCTTGAACCCTCCCGTCCTCTTCGAAAAGAAGCCATTGGGGTCTCTCTGCCGCTGGATCTGCTGGAGTCTCGCATACGATTCTGCTGGATAGCTCTTCAAAGGATCCTGATTGAACATCGCATCGTTCATAAACAGTGGCCGATAGCCCCATCCAAGATCTCCGCTTTGGTAGTTGGTCGGCCGAACATTGGCATATTTGGATCGACCATAATCTTGCGCCGCCTGCGTCAGGTTCGTGATCGTTGCAGCGGCTTTCTGGTCGGTGATGGGCAACAGCCAGGAAACATCGTACTCCAAGAATACCTTGTCCCCGTACCTCGGATCCAGGCCGATGAGGTTCACGCCACTTGGGTTGTTGACCGAGTTGCTCGCAAGCTGGTGTGGGATGGGTTGAAAAGCCATCGAAAAGATGTAATTATCGATCTCCAAGAGTTGGGCTTTCTTGGCGCCGTCAAAGAAGCTCGTGAAGGCAAAGTTATACAGATCGACTCCTTGGGCACCTGGCAGATTTGGCAGAGTCCCTGTGCGGATGAGGTAGCGCTGTCCTTGTAGGGAGAAGAAGCTGTTGGAGTCGAGAAGCTCGGCGTAGTCCCTGTTGGGTTTGGTCTGGTCGATCAGAGAAGGGATGGCGTTGAATTCGTCGAGAATTGTTCCTGGCTGAGGGCCGTCATAGAACCTGAAAAGAAAAATGGGAGTTAGCATGTGTGAGACAGACCTCCACTGTTCAGTATAGCTTACATGAAGACGACAAAGATGTCCACTAGGGTGTCGAGAGTCGAGCTGTAAGTGACAATCACGGCAGCTTTTGTATCGTTGTAGTTGGAGTTAAGATTGTGTGTAGCTTTTAGAAGAGCATCTTTCTGTGACATGGGAAAGATCTTGTGACCACCCCAAACTTTGCCGATAGGATCTGCGATTGGTGAAGTGTAAGTGTCTCGCCGCAGCAGTTTGAAGTGTGTGGTGTGGGACATCCTTACATGTCTGCATGACAAATTCGGTCACGATAGCGAATTGTCCACCACCTCCTTTCATTGCGTAGAAGAGATCGCTGTTCTGGTTCCTATTCGCGCGGGTGAGCTCGCCTTGCGCTGTGACCACTTCGAACTCGACAACGTTATCTGCTGTCATTCCCTGGGTCCTGTGTTAGCAGTGTCATGAAGCATAAGGACTCCGTGAAGGCCTACATATTGTGTCGAGAGAAACGACAATCCTCCTCCCATCGTGAGGCCGGGTACACCAACAACACCCAGCCGACCAGAGACTACGGCTCTGTTGGATGGCTGCAGGGCCTTTGCCACATCGATCCACCTATTGCCAGGTCCAACGTGGGCCAGATTGTTCGAATCGAGAGTTGTCGTCGCCATGAACTCGTGCGTTGCGATAAGTACACCATCCTTCGTGCTGGAGAATCCGACATTGGGGTTGTGGCCGGCTCCTATCGGACGGTCAGGACCAATCGTCGCAAGGCTTGTGACCATGGATCACACCACGTACCTTTGATTGCCCAAGGTGCGGTATTGTATTTATTCAAAGTTTGAACGGCGAACTGGATGTCCTGTGCAGTTTTGGGAAAGAAGATACATGCTGGCTTGACGTCGGCATTCGCGAGCGACCAGTAGCTCGTTCGGGCTTGAGTGTATGCAAGACCGAGAGGAAAATCGACACCGGTTGTCGCGACCTGGTCAGAGTATCTGTCGTCTAGAGTCTTGCATGCTGCGAAAGCGTCTGCGTTGGGAGCAGCTAGACCAGTGGAGATGATTGAGCCTAGAGTCAGGACTGTGCGAAGCATAGAGGGCAATCTGTCGAGCCTCTGAGCCTTGAAGGGACTTGAGAATCACAGATGAGGTGTGTTGTGTTGAAGTATCTCTATGTAGGGATATAATAGGAGACAATGAATGCGAGGAGATCCTTATATGCCACCCTGACTTCCTCGCATGAGAGCGACTTGGCCATTCATATGTCGCTTGGTTCGGTCCTGCTGCGGAGTGCATTGGAATTGCAGAACTAAGCAGCGCCACTGGGGAAGCTAGTTGCTCCATCGCCGCCACACCAGTCATACGATGTCTTTGCGAAGCAACTGGCACAGGACTCCGCCGAGTATGGCGCGGTCTAAGGTCGACAGTAGCCACGAAGGACCATCAAGCTTTGCGAGATTCGGCTGTGGAGTGGATCGTTAAATGTCCTGACAGTCGAAGATCGACGGGTGTTTCTCCAGGCTAGCTGCAAGTTACTCGCGGCCTACTCAAGCGAGGCATGCTTGAGCTCGTACACTAACATAGAATTGCGAAGTCTCATGGTAGCCCTGCGACTTATGAGCTGCTTTCGGGGACTGCCGGCATGTTACTGGCTAGGAACTAGCCCTGCTACTTCGAAACGCAACGAGGTTTCGATGCCTCCTTTGATTAAGATGACCTCTATTCATGGATACCTGCAGCATTTCCTCTTTATGGGCTCTGCACGAAGTCGTCGAAGGGGTTTGGCTCGATCCAGCAGTAGCGATGCCGGGGCAACACCGTACCGAGAGTCGTTCTCTGCACGGATAATATGTCCACAGTAAGTAGCCAAAGTCGTTTGGCCAAGGTGTCTCGTACAGACACAACCGCGCAACTTCGCTTAATGCTGGAGACTGAACTTGGTACATGCAACCTTGCTCGACGACGTCGCTTACGTTTGAGCGTGGTTGGCGCTCTTGCAACAATTTTGGTTACGCCTCGGTAGGTGATGCGCGAAGAGCGGCACGCGAGGGCCGCGGACTTGCCTTTCTCTCCTGTCAGGTTTGCGATCTGTCGAATGTGAGAGGAGCTTCCACGGCACACGAGCAGTATGGGTCGCAGAAAAGTGCCTCGGTCAGGTGCGAGGCGCAGAAGCTGAAGTCAAATTTGTCCTGCCAAGAATTCGTACGTTTCGTACCGCCGCCGATCAGCCCTTGCTTATACTGCATCAATTCGCAAGCGCCTGCTGTCTCTAGGAACATCTAGTGATCAAGGATTGGATACATCTATTCCAGTACTAATTGACAATCAGATGCTCGAATCGTAGCTGCAGTGTTTATGCGGCACCGCTTCAAAATATCTCACTCCAGCCACTTCTTGTCCAGATTATCCAGAAATTCAAAATCGACATCGACGAAACTTCTCCAAAAGTCCACTTCATTCCTCCAATTCGCAGTCTGCAGAGCAAAGACAGTTCCCAGCATCATCTGCTCCAGTTCTTCCCGGGTATTACCCATCACAAGCACAATGTCTCTCCTCACCTGGACGTTCTTTCCAAGTTGTGGTCGCCATCGCTTCAGCTTCGAGTCAAGGGCGTTTTGAAAACTCCACTGACTTCCTGCAGCGTCCTTCGGATAGAACTTCCAAGACCAAGCTCTCCCTCGACAATCTTCAAATGTCATGTACTCGCGTGTATCGAACCCAATTACAACCGGCCAGAACATGGGATGGCTGTACACGCGCAACAGGGCGAAGTGAGATTTGCCTGGTGTATTGCGCATGTTGTGCTCCCTTGCGAGTCCGAGTAGGTCAACCGCTCGGAAGTCAGTAATATGGCTTCGGTCGCCTATGGCCTCGCCTCGAAAATTGAGGGACTTGCGAAAGTCGATAAACATTCTCTGTTCGCCGGTCATCGGGTCCTCGCGGGCTATAGCGCGTCCGCAAGGGAGACTGATGGGCGAAGGTGAGATTATGCCTGCCTTATACAACCGTGCGATGATTGGTCTCGTCAAGGCATCCCATTCCCGCGGTGGCTTCTTGAGCCGGCTCGCTGTCTCCAATGGGATATAGGCATCGTTGTTCTTGCAAGGAGGCCAGAAGTCCTTAGGAAGAAGCTCATCGCTGCGCCAGTCGCGGTAGTAAGGGAGTTGCGTCGCCTTGTACTGGTTGTCGACTAGCTTGGTACGGGTCGCGAGATTTTGTCGCCAATCCGCAACTGCGTCACCATACTTCTCGCGATCGGCAGGGAAGAACAATCCAACGAACGCATATGTGGCTTCAAGGTCGCGGAAGACTAGGCGGTGCTCACTTTGGTGCACATTCAACCACATCTGCGTCTGCGCCGCCTTGCCACGCATATAGCCGCATTTCGCGTTCACTCGCCGTGATTCTTCTTGGAATTGCTGCAGCTCCGCGTAGCGCTCCATGGCGCCCGGTTCAATGTCAGCAGCGTGGATTTGTGGCTTGAACGCCTGTGACAGGTGTTAGTAAATAGAGTCGCCAGGATTACAATTCTCGTAATGTGCCATGCCATCCATCGGCAGTATCCTGGTGATGAGTAACATACCTTTGCCTTCTCGCGTTCGGTGAAGAGCCAGAATTGCTTGTCAATGTCCTCGCTCCGAGCGTAAGGCCCGAAGACGAATGTCTTCAGTCTCTTCAGTTCTCTCGGGTCCGATTCCACAGCTTCAAGATCGGCATCGCAGACTTCATACAGGGCTTCGGGGCTGGGGATGTCAGAATCGCTCCAATCCGAACCTTCAGTATCGTCTTCCAACAATCTTGCAGCTTCGGCAATATATTCTTCCCATCCTTCAGCTTCAGCACAGACTGCGCATTCGCAATCGGGCGCAAAATCGTTCGGACACTTGTCTTCCTCCTTTTGCCAATCGTGCACGCGCTCGCCAGCTTCTCGCAGCCGATTTTCGAACTCTTTGGCACTTTTTGGTCTCCTCTTGCCCACAGGCCCGGATCTTGACGCGATCTGGTTCCCATTGAACGCTGCGTTCTTTTGCCTCAAAGCGAGGCTTTTGGATGGTTTTGCATGAGAAGACTTCACCTTCGCCTCAAGCTGCGGACGACTAGACTTCTTCTCCGCCTCAAGGCGTGGACGATTGAGTCGCTCGACCAGATCCGGATCGGCATCAGAGTCATCGTCGGTATCTAGGCCATTGACGAATCGCACCAAACTAGGCCCCTGGGCTTCAAGCTCACGATTGATCCTATCGGCATGGTCACCAATGGCAGTTATTTGTAGCCCTTGCAACTCCTCCGGAAACAGGATCTCGTCTTCAGCCGCATCAATCTCGTTGTAGTATTTCTCGTGAATCTCCTTTGTGGTCATGTCGCGAGCGCTGGCTTGCTTGCCATTCTTGAACTCGATGATGCGGTCTAGAGAGCGTGTTCCGGGGTGGTTCATATCGTCAAATATGGACATTTCACCTGGGCGTACATCCCTACAGCGCATGGAATCGTGGTCGCGATGGACTGTCTTTAGAATGGGCGCCGCGACATAGTAGCCGTCGAGCGCTTTTGTGAGGCGATGCGCTTTGATGAGACAGTCGTGCACTCTGCTTTCCAGCTGGGTCCAGTGCTCACCCGGTTCCAGGTCCCAGATGATCAAATCGTAGTGCTCGTCGAAGCCAAATCGAAAATCGCTGTAGGCATGCGTATCGGAGAATTGCTCAAGCATTTCCTCGTTCACTTCACCCGTGATTTTCCAGCGCCCTCCAATATAAGTCCGCGCTAGCCACTGTTCCTCTTTTGGTGGCTGGAGAATGATGTGCCCAGTTTTGGCATCACGAACTAGAATGCATAACTCAGAGGTGAATAACATCAAATACTGGATGAATCTCCGGCTGACTGGATCGTTGCGTTTGATGTGGGCGCATATCACATTCTTGCATTCGACGATTGGTGCGCCACGAGCTGGTCCGCCTTCTGGAGTGGTTACGCGATGAGCATCAAAGAAGGTGAATCTTGGTATGAAGCCCAGCAACAGGAAGCGTGAGCGTCCCGAATCCCCTGCCCATTCGCCCCAGGCAGCATTTGGAAAATATCCGAAAAGCGCGAGAATGTTGAGCTCGTAGAACTCATTCCAGTTACGACATAGTTGGATGGCGCTCCCAAGTTTCGTGCCTTTCGCAATTATGGAGAAGTGTAGCCACCCTCGTCTGCTCACAGAGCGCTCCGAGGGATAGTTCCTGTAAACACATTAATATTTGCAAAATCCACCGGCAACTTGGTGCTCACCAAATAGTTTTACCGCAGACTCTGATGCGAATCTTCTTGCTCTGGAACTGGCCATTGTCGTCAATGTCTCCGAAGTCTACACGGGTTGCGCCTTCGTTGTACACAGTCCGCTTTTTGCTCTGCTTCTCGTGATTAGCCTTCCAGTAGTCTGGCAGTGCTCGTTTCTGCTTGCGGAACAATCTGTGTGGTTTAGGCGCAATGCTTCGGTCGTATGCTTCCTGCTCATCTTCTTCATCTTCATCGACCTCATCATCGCTGTCCTCTAATTCCCCTCGTGCGAAATCGGCACATGCATCGCGAAGTTCCTGGAGGCTGGGCTGCTCCAACCTCAGGCAAAGATCTCTGAGCTGCGTGGCATTGACCTCCGGGTCCAGAAAAAATTCCTGCAGACTGGACGCTCGCAATGCAGCAGGTAGCAACGCTGCTTGCCCGAGAATGAGTCTGCACAGCAACAGTTGCTTGATCTCGCCAATCTCTTCGATCAATTTGTCGACTTCGTCCTGCGGCAGGCCAAGGATCTTGCCATGTAGCTCCGCTGGGTGTTCCATCGTTCCAGCCATGACTCCACCTTTACTCACACCGCCTCTCCAGTCATAGGCCTCCCCACTGAGCAGCCGGGCCCCAATTTGCTCGGCTGTTTCATTAACTTCAATCTTGAGGCTGTCATCGGAAGGCACATCATCAGCTGGAGCAGCCTGGGCCTTCGCTTGCTTCTTGGCTCGTTTCTTCTGATTTCTGTTCATGACTTTATTGGAAGTCAATGCTCGACTCGAAGGGTTGTTGGGAACAGACTCAGAGCTGACAATCTCTGTGACCGAAGGCTGAGACTCAGCACGCTCCATGCCTGTGTCATTGGAGACTTGCGGTGCCGCTCGTGAGGGAGCCTGATCAAGTGCTGTGAGTGTCTCTTCGGAGGTAGTCAACCACAGTAGGCGACGCATGATATCGATAAATTTCTCTCGGTCCTCCTCGAGCTCGTCTTCAATGGGGTCCCACTGCTCCTGCTCTTCGTCTTCGCTCATATTCTGGCGCTCCTTGTATGCTTCGTTCAGGTGTGCTTCTTGTCTTCGTTGGTTTTCTCGCTGCCGCTTCCTTGCCATACGGGCTTGAGTATCCTTGACATAGCGCCGGAACAGTGCGGCTTCGCGCTTAATCTGCTTGCTCTCGTTCTCGCGGGCCTCTTCTTCCTCTTCTTGCTGCTGTCGTACGAATTTGAACCATTTTTTCTGTGCGTGGAGCACTTCTGCGGCTCTTTTCTCGAGTCTTTCAAGAGCACGAAGCGTGACGAAGCGCTCGTTCGTAAGCTTGTCTACGTACGCTTTGTGACCATAATCGAGGTCCAAAGGATAGAAATGCTGCTGATGAAGCTTGCGTGCCCGGATTACCCGATCCAAAAGAGCATACCTTTTGAACAGGTGGTCATGCACTTCATTGAGCGTGTTTTCATCTTCAACATCTGCGAAAGAGATGTTTCGTAGGACTTGATCCGAGAGCTTTCCAGACAGCCAGGCTGGTGGATTGGCATCTAAGTGATCGAATGTCGCATTCCGCAGTTTGTATCCTCGATACAGCCCGTATGCCTGCTTTGCATGAAAGCGGCAAAATAAGCCATTGGCCGAAGTAGCTTCTGCCGAGCACTTCTGTTCATCTGATAGATTCAGCGCCTGACATGTTGCTGCCATTCTGGCGTTCTTTGATTCAAGATATACTCTGTAGCAGGTCGCAGAAGCATGTGTTGTCAATGTTGATGATCTCCTGAAGTCGACGCGCCTCGACGCGTCTGCAATGAAGTCATGGTTTCCAGTATCTTCTCCGCACAACGACCCTCGTCAGGAGCAGAATCTCAGACCTCGTGTGTGCAATACTGTACCAACATTAGAAGCGCCAGGGTAGTGTGCCTCCCCGATATCTCAACCAGAGAGACCTGAGATTACCGTCAAAATTGTCAATATGACAACGTCTTCGGAGCTCGCGACGCGTTGGCATGTTTGCAGCGAGTGGCGTCTCGCCAAGACAGAGCTCAAATTCCGACAAATGTTCTATCAGATTATGAATAAATCCTGCTCGAATTCAAGATGCGGTGCATGGCGTTCAACCGATGAGATACATGCTCGTTGGCTAACCTAATTGTTTCCAAATTCCTGCATGTCATGCTCAAGGTCCTTGCTTCAGATCAGGTGTTCGACGCTTTGCGTTACTGAGCCGCCGTTGTCGACTCAAGTACGATCAATCAGCCTACCTCTGGATTCATTTTCCAAGTTGAATCAGATCTTGACCATGCATTTGACAGCTCTCCAGTTGAATTGTGCATTGTGCTCATCTGCATCGAAACCTCGATATAGCCTTTGCAATGGGGTTCAGGTCTTATTGTGCCGGCGAGAGCCATTCGCATCGCCTCGATGTTTGTGTCCGAATGTATTTGTATACAAACAGTCTTACCAAATTATTTCCTTCGTTGGACTGCTCCACATGAAGATGTGATGTTCTGCGCTCTTCTGGACGCGCCGCTTAAAGCGCTCATTCACCCGAGCAATCGCTTGATTTAAAGAGACTGCTCTTTCCGCTTTTGGTTTGTCAGCTCTTCCTCTCCGGCAACACGGCGACGTTGCCGACACAGCAGCTCGAAGGACTTTCACTGATACACCGACAAGCACAGCATGCCTGGCATTTCTCTGGAGCTCGAGTTGTTCGGCGAGGAGTCGCCCGACGAAGAGGCTCCCGACGAGAGCTCTCCAAAAGCTGCCAAGAGCGGCCTGACAGTCGCTAGTGATGAGCCTCAAACGGTCACGGAGGACGCCAAATTATTGGCTAGCACATCCAAAAAGAGGAAGCATGAAGAGGGGTCCGACACATCCGATTCGAAAGGCTCTCCCAGAGATGAGCACGACGTGAGACCTCCGAAATGGGCTCCTTTCCAAGTCAGCGATGATCCCAACAAGATTCGACAGACCAATACCGGCAAGGACATTCCGACGAACGCTCAACTCATAAGGGCTTACACCACCGACACGGTAGAGACCGAGTTCGATGACCACACGCAGCTTCGAGCCTGGCTCAAGATCCAACACCAGCCTTCCCGTGGCAAGTTCGAAGACTTGGCGGTGAGAGTTGGGGAGTACATCAAAGCACATGGCCAAGAGATTGATCATTGGTATGGAACGGTCAAGACGGTCCAGAAGAAGGCGCCGAAGCCTAAGAAGCAGCAGGCCCAGACCAAGGACGATATCCTGGCTGCGGCTCAGAAGGCTTTCGAGGAGGCGAACCGACCGAGTGTACCAACTGGAGGTACGAAGTCAGAGAAGTTCTCAGGTGATACAGCCCGCGAGGCAGCTAAGGGGCATCCGAGGCGCAAGAAAGTCAAGCACGCTCATGTGCCGGAAGGTGATCCAAGCGAGAGACCGCAATGATGGTTCTTCCGCACCAGTTCAACGTCTTGGATGGGCAAATGCGCCGTGAAGGAAGACAGGACGTTTTGCGGCGACGTTCGAAGGGCGAAGAATGCCACGAAGGTAAAGCTTGGGAGTGGTGTTGATCAGCGTGGCCAGACTGTCGTGAAAGGTGAACATGAAACGCCTGGGCAGTGTCCCTCACGGTATGACAGACTATGAACAGTTCAGCAGAGTTCGCGTTTAGTTCACTCAACCATTGTCATGTCCGTATGCCCTGATGTGCCAGCAAATCATTGCTATTCTGCCAACCCCACAACGTGGTCTTCAGTGAATTGTCCATAGAAAAATCATCGCACGTTTTTCCCGAGGATTGGACTTGCTCGCTGCATTGTCACAACCTGAGCGACATGAGTTCTCTTATGATCTAGTCATGCTTGCGCGAGCGATAAACGCCTTCCACTGCTGGCGTGACGCATGTTGGTGTTTCCAGTGATGGAAAGTGCAAGTGAGGTGGAGAGACGTGGGCGACGCGGGCAATGCCAAGACGCGTGTCATTGTCACCCGTCATCTCACGCAACGCGTCTTCCCGGCCTTGCTTGCTGCAAACACGCGCCGTTGGGCGCGCACCGCCAGCATGGCCGTTTCCACCGCGCCCATCGCCCCGCCGGGCATACACTCACCTCACCGAACGGCCGGAAGGCGACCGATGGAGCCCAATGTCAAGAATATCGTCCTGGGCGAGCGGCACATCAGACCTGAATATCCGTCCTTCTACCCAGAAGATTTGGTTGGCGGCAAGAAAACCGAATGGCTCTATGTGTGCCAGTGGTGCTTCAAGTACACCAACGAGCTGTTAAAGTTCAGTGCGCATTGTGTAGGTCATGGGCTGGAGCACTAGAAGCAGAATATGGAAGACAAGCTGATGGCAGGAAGAAAGTGTGTCCCATGAAGGCTGAGCCACCGCATGGCGAAATTGTTTACGAGAAGGATAACTACTCGATACAGAAGCTCGATGGCGAGCAACACAAAGTATCTTTCAGTCGTCGCTGGCCGATGTGCTTTTGCTGACGAATTGCATAGCTCTACTCCCAGAATCTAGGCCTCTTCGCCAAGCTGTTTCTCGAAACCAAGTCGGTCTTCTTCGATGCTTCAACCTTTCTCTATTACACCTTGGTCCTGCACGATCCGTCGAGTAAGAGCAATCCGCAGGGACAAGTCATTGGCTTCTTCTCCAAAGAGAAGATGTCTTGGGACAACAACAATCTCGCCTGCATCGTGGTATTCCCACCTTGGCAGAAGCGCGGGCTTGGTCAAGTACTTATCGCAGCTTCCTATGTTCTGGGGCGAAGAGAAAATCGATTCGGAGGTCCCGAACGTCCCCTCTCCGCCGACGGCAGAAAAAGCTATGTCAAGTACTGGACAGGAGCAGTTGCGAGGGAGGTCTTACTTGGAGGGCACGGTAAGAAGGTGCTGAGCGTGAAAGACTTGGCAGAAAAGACTTGGATCATGCCAGAGGATGTCGTGGTCGCGCTGAAAGAGATGGACGTCTATGAGAAGCGCAAGACGGCGAGCGGGAATATCGTCGTTTCCAAGAGCAAGGTCCGAGCATGGGTGGAGAAACACAAAGTGGGTCTAGAAGCTATCGTGGATGTCGATGCATTTGTGGAGGACAGCGAGAGTGAAGACGAAGAGATGAGTGATGATTGAGCATGACTTCCAGCATGAACAAAGCTCGCTCTAGAGGCCGAAAATGTCTACACCAAGCCGCTGGGCGTGGGTCGCCGCTACTTGACGATGAAAGTTCGCTTCTGCCGCACATGCAGATGGCGCATCATGCATGGTCGATCGAAGTCCAACTGGACAGAACGTGGACTCAGACCGCCGGCTGTCATTGTCACATCTGCAACTTACGCGACCCGGATCCGCCATATATGCTACAGCAGAGCGCGATGATGACTCGCATATGTGGAGGAATACACCCTTTAGCAGTGAAGCTGCGTGACGGACTGTCAGTGAGAGCTCTGAAGGGCGGATTGCAATTCGTGGTCCGTTGTTCACATTCGCGAGAGCGTGGACACTCTCAAGACAGGTCTCCTTACCCCAAAATCTCCCACGCATTCTGGGTGTCCTGGATTGGCCGGCTTCGGGAATGCTTGAAATCTTCTCGAGGTTCACACAATATTGCATTTTCCAATCGGGTATCCGATAGCCATGGCGCCTACTGCAATACTGGTCAATGGAACGTATGCATGCACGTATCAAAACGTCAACAGACTTCCATTTCCAGGATTCATGGTCATTCGGAGAGATCAAACACCCATGACTTGAGCCGAATCAGCAAAGGAGCCCATCGCCACAACATCGATACGACCTTCAACTGCCGACTACTCTCTGCAAGCGACACCTCTTGGGAACGGCTTGTCGGCGGCTTTCGTGTTTTGTTCTGGTCTATACCTCGGTCTCAAAAGTCGCATCAAATATGATTACTTGCCGTGGGTTGGACCCGCAGTCTTGAAGCAGATCCCCCGCAATCAAGATATGCCCTGTCTGCGTAGTGTCAGCCGGCGGCTAGAGGCGAGGGGAGTAGAAGCAGGGTCTGAACATCTGCAACCGCAACAATATCACAAATCAACATATCCGGCAGTTGTCAAAGGCGTGGAACCCACGGAGCCTGGGCTAGATAACCGAGTATTGGAGGTCTCTCTGGTCGAAATGTGGAAGGACTTACTGCTTTAGGCATCGGGACGACAATTAGCGCGCCCGGTGCGCGTTTGTCTGTTTGCCAAGATCACCTCTTACTCTGTTCGACAACGAACATAGCGTACGGCCGGACGCAGCAACCTGTGTATGAATACGACGAGGGACTGCGCATGCCGGTAAGGTAGGTCTTGCACTTCTCTCTGCTCCTTTCGATCCTCCTTAGCGTCTGCGAAGCAACACCATGACTAGGACAATCGACTATCAAGTCATTAGCAAGCAGAAGAGGGAGCAACGCGCCAGCAGGATCCCAAAAGAATGGACGCTGCCTGCACACGTGAAGCTCGGAAATAATGTCCTAGACGTCCCGGCAACTTGTGGTCTGCTCACCGCACGAGAGCTCGAGATTACTGGCGAAAACGACGCTGTGGACATTGTACAGAAGATACGGGCCCGAACCTATACAGCTGAAGAAGTTACGCGCGCGTTTTGCAAGCGCGCAGCCATTGCACAACAAGTGGTACGGATGACTTCCGTCTTTAGCGATGCTTGCTAACAGCACACAGTCTAACTGCTTGACAGAGATTTTCTTCGACGATGCGATCGAACGATCGAAAGAGCTAGACAGAGAACAAAATGCCAACCCTGACGCGCCACTCCGGCCCCTTCATGGCTTGCCAATATCGTTGAAAGATAGCTTCCGCGTTCCTGGATACGATTCCACAGTGGGCATGATCTGCTGGGCGAATTTACCAGACACCACATACTCCGCGCTGCCTCAGCTTCTTGTGGATCTCGGTGCAGTACTGTACTGCAAAACGAACATTCCACAGACAATGATGACAGCAGACTCCGACAACAACGTCTTTGGCCGGACAGTGAACCCAGTGAGCGCGAAGCTCACCGCTGGCGGAAGCAGTGGAGGCGAGGGCGCGCTGATTGCCCTTCGCGGTAGTGTTCTCGGCATCGGAACCGATGTTGCTGGCAGCATCAGAATACCGAGCATATGCAACGGGATCTACGGCCTTCGCACGAGCGCTGGTGTTGTGGCATATGCCGGCCAGCGGTCATCTGTGCCGCCTGGCATGGCAGGAGTCGCCGCTGTAGCTGGTCCAATGGCGATATCGCTCCGGACCTGCGAGTACTTTATGAAGGTCGTGATCGAAGCTGAGCCGTGGAAGTACGACCCCGGCTGCTTACATCTGCCGTGGAACTCCTGCGAGCGCGTGAAGCCGTCGCGTGTCGGAGTTGTTCTCGATGATGGAGCGTTCACGCCATGGCCTCCAGTCCGCCGAACCATGCACGAGTCAATAGCTAAACTTGAGCGCGCAGGCATAGAGGTCGTGCACTTGAACTTGCCCGACGTCCAAGAGGCGATTGAAGTGACGCACAGGATGTATGCACTTGATGGCTGCAAGTTCGTCCAAGCTCGATTGAAGGAAAGCGGCGAGCCTCAAGTCGAATCTGTAAAACGAGTCAACCTTGCAGGGATACCTTCCGCAACTCTTGAAGACTATTTCGAACTGAATGCTGCTCGAAGTCGCATCCAACGGACATACCAAAATCTGTGGCAAGCAAATAAGCTCGATGCTATTCTTATGCCAGGCGCCTCAACCACAGCGACGCCACATGACGAGTGGGGCCCGGTTAATTACACAGCCTTATGGAACTTCTTAGATTACCCGACGGTTATTCTTCCTACAGGGACAGTAACCTATACAGATGCGGCGGATGGTCTGGACAACGCCAAGTACGGCGAGGCAGATCGGAGGAACTATCAGCTTTGTGAGTAACTTGCACAACACATTTTGAGGGCTGAGGACTAATGATTGCATAGATACTGGACCAGACGACTTCCAGAGTGCGGCACTAACCGTACAGCTTGTGGGCATGCAACAGGAGGACCAGCGATTGCTACAAGTCGCAACTATCGTCGATGAAATTCTGAGCCATAGACAGATCGCAGTGCAGAACGGCCATTGATACACAATCTTACTGAGCTATGCCTTTGCTTTAACGCTGATAGCCTTCGCGGGTAGTCCTGGGAAGTTCGTCACTCTATACGCATCGATGATGATCTTTCGATCGTGCATCGACAGGACACCAATAGCCATGATCCCATTGAGCCAATTGTATGGCCCAGGACCTGCATCAAATTGCAGACGTGTGAACCATTCTACATCTGACTGTGTCATCTGGTGCGGTTCTCCTTTAGCAAAGAAGTCATCCTCCCGCGGGGAAAAGATGCCCTTTGAGCGGACATATATGAAATGACCATTATCGGTCTTCAACGTATAGCGTGCATCAAGGCGCATGTACTGCATGTACGATCAGTCTGACACTTTCTCCCTGTAGGACTGACATCTCACCTCTGTGCCTGCAACTTGAGTGCCCCAATCGGCACCACTCATATGTTGTATTGTCGCAGAGATACCGGGTCCCTTGACGCTGCCGCCTTCGATTGGCATGATCACCCTCCGATGAGAACCATCGAACGGCGCTCCCACCGAGTGATTCTCAGCCGCCATGTCGCAGCTTAAACGATAAATAAAGTCCATATGGGGCACTTTCATCGAAATCGGCAGGGGCAGGTAGTCATGACCTGGTGAATCTTGCAGTTTGTGCTCGTCCGTCATGGTGTCTTGTTACGGCTGATCAGTGAGAGTTCGCGGGATTTCTGCTGAACGCCGAACACCCAATTCTACGGTCAATTGGCCAGGAGTCCACATTCACATGGAAGCCCAAACACTCGTAGAAGGAGGGTCAAACGTGTGTGTCAACTGTATCCCGTAGTCGCCGACTTGTCGAAGTTCGTTGCGTGTGTGCGGAACGGGAAGGCTAACGGTCAACAGAGTTCGACGGACTGGGATTTGACTCTGAGGGCTTTGTCTTCGAACTTCCCATCCCGATCCACGAGATCTTGTACAAGCAAGAGCGACTCTTCGTGAGGAGACGTCGGTTGCAGCTGCTCTGAGGGCCTGAGCACGATCTGCCGGACTTGACTCAGCGCAGTGACGAAGCGTGATGACCTTGGTTGTTTAAATCGCCCAACCCCCGCCAATCTTGCACAGGGGTCTGCACAACGCGAGGCCTTCGAGCGCTAAGTCGCGGCTTCCACGCAAGAAGGCATCCCGCATGTTGCTCACCAACACTCCATCGACGGCATGTTTGCTAGTTTTGCTTTGAGTCCTGATGGCTTGATGTACGCGGCACCCCCACCACGCCTGGCGCGCTCGCACGACGGATGCCTGCCTTGTCCGTAGAGTTCCGTGGTCGAGAAGATTCTGTGCTGACCTCCTTTCGCTGACCGCGTCCGCAGGTAGACGCAAACGCAAGAAATGCGACAAAACGAAGCCGCGCTGCCTGCGATGCATGAACAGCACCAATCGCGATACCTGCGTATGGCCGCAAAAGAAGGACGATGATCGGCGGGATTCAGTCGAGCCTACGCCAGCTGGGTTGGTCGAGATATTCGATGATGAGAACCGGGACCACGTGGACCACACGGCTCCCTGCGCCGCCATCGAGAGCGCCAACGACTGGATCGTGAGGTTGCCAAGCATACAGAGGAATGATCTCGATGCGTTATCACCATGGCAGTTGCCAGAAGCAGTGCTTCGTGTGTCGCCGTAAGCCAGTGCCCGGAGCTCAGATGGACGGCAGTCAGCTGAATACTCGCGCAGCGATCTCTCTGCAACCAAAGTTACGCAAATAACTCTCGCCCTTCAAAGAAAGATGCTATGTCACGAATCTGAATTCGATGGATCAATATTCATGCTTGGGCTGCCTGGCTCGAATGCACATCCGGGATACATTCATGCTTGGACGGCTTGCAGTATGGCAGCAGTAGCGCCACGGACTGCGCATTGGCAGCGACGAGCATTGATGCACCATAGTCAAGCCTGCGTCGAGCTGAGGAAAGGCATTCGTGATTCTGCGGACGACGACGCGTCTGGCGAGTGGATGCGTGCTACGGTGCTCATGCTCTATCTCTTCGAGGTACGTTACCGGTCAAGGGGCAAGCACGCGAAGTATTGACTAGCGTTGTAGAAACAGAGGAGTCGTAAATTCGTGGAGGCTGGACAGAGCTACGATACTGCGGCGATCCATTTGAAGGCGACACATCGACTCTTTGACGAGCGCAAGGGTGTCTATCGGCTGAACACCATCCACGGCTGCATGCTATATGAGGCGTATATAGCGCGGACAGTCGACAATTACCTCTTCCAACCGGACAGCGCACTGCCTCTCGACTACATCACACGATCGATCGATTACCACGAGGAGAATCTCGGAAAACTGGGCATCCCGGTCGAAATAATGACTACTCCGTGGGTTGGACTTTGGGGGCGGAAGTTCACCGACCTCGTCTATCGACTCTCCTGGATCGCCCATCAGATACCACTCGATCAAACAAATACAGAACGTCTTCAGGCCATTGCAGCCCAGCTGAGCAGCAGAGAACTCATAATAGGTGGATCCGCATTTGGCATAGATGAGGCGACTCTCAAGTACTACACAGACGCACGGCTGGCGTACTGGCACGCTTGTTCGTTCTTCGCCGATGCGGTGCTTACCGAGGGATTACGGTTTCCAGTCACCGTATTTCAGCAACATCATGTCCGTGCTGGCATGGAGCTGATGAATGAGCTGACACTCAAAGACCACATCAATTCGCATCTGACGTGGCCACTCGTTGTCCTTGGGTTTGGAGTGGAGGATGTCGATCAGCTGGAACTCCACAAGAGTATGATGGCACGCCTGGGCCCCTCTGCTGGCGAAGAAACAGTGGAAAAGGCAAATCAGATGGTGCAGGCCGTGTTCGAGACGAAGAGGGCTGCGCACGAAGCTGTAAGTGTCGCAGAGTGGATGCGGCTGATAGTATCATTTAATATGTACTCATGATACGACGTTCTAACTCTATTCGCTCATGATCCCTCTCATCCCTTGTCAGTGCCTTCTTCTTTTTTTCCAGTTTGGGCACTGTCAGGAGCTTCCACTAGGCCCCAATCGCCGTGTGCGATTTGATCAGCTTTGTACTTGACCAATAAGCCCACCGCTATGGGTCCGAGTATCGTATTCAGCAAGATGGCCCAGATCGCAGTCAGAAATCCTGCTTGGGTGACATATGGTGTATTATTGTAGCCAATCTCAACAATTAAAAGACCGATCTCCCCTCGAGCGACCATTGCCATACCCAGAAGCAGGCCTGGGTATATGCTTGGCTTCACTCTCGCCGCACGTCCAGCATCCGCACCTTTTTCCACGGACGGCAACTCAGATTTGCCTGTGCTGTCTTTCGAGCTCGAGCATGATGCCCATACCGGCAGCCAGATGCCTACTAGGAACTTTCCCAGCACCATGAGAAGTGTGTACACAACTCCATGCCAGATAGCCTCTCCTGTCCAGAGATCTAAGAACGGGATCGCGAACCCAATGCTTGCGAAGAACAATGGTTCCAGGATATAGACTTGGAAGTCCAAACAGTAGTATTCGAAAGTGTGGATAAAAGTGGGACTCTTGTGCTTCTCCTTCTCTCCTTGCTCTCGGCTGAGAACCACGAACGGGCCGGCTGGATGCCTTGAAGGTAAATATGTCAAGAACGAGCCAGCGAGGAACGCACCGAATAGTATCGAGGTACCGGCATAGGCTGCAATCGAAATGAAAGCCGAAAGCACTAAGATCATGAACACGATGTTGAACAAATGATCAAACACGTGAAAATGCGGTTCAATGAACTTGCGAAACCCAGGCGCAAATACCCATTTCGATAAGACAGGTGTCAAAACCGCCATGAGAATCGATGCGAGTATAGGTCGTCCGATGAGCCAGCCAAGATTGCCTGTACTGCCTCCTAGATCGTGTATCACACTCGACATGACCAGACCAGATACATCATCAAGCACAGCTGCGCTGACGAGGACTGCTCCAACACGTGTCTGACTCAAATCCACGCTCTGCGAAGCTCCCGAAATGACTGCAAATGTCGTCCCGAGACTGGTTGCAGACAATGCTGCGCCGATGATGAAGGTTTCCACGGCGCCATATCCGAAGCCAAGGTATAGCAGTAGATAGCTGAGGCCGATGGGGAGGATTACGCCTGTGGTGGCGCACACTGCGGATAGGGTAAGATTGGCGCGAAGGAGATCCAGACGCGAAGTAAGGCCTCCTTCGAAGATGATGAGGATTAATCCGACGTAGCCGAGATAGATGAACGTTTCTTGCCAGATGTGCTGCAGAATATTCGCCAGAGGTTGGCCGTAGATGATTCCGACGGCGATGGGACCGATGATTCCGGCTCGGATGATTTTCTTGGATATATAGCCAGCGATCCAGAGGAATGTGAAGAAGGATATTATGATGAGGATGTCGACGACTGTGAAAGGGCGAACGATAAAGTTAGCAGGGATGTCTTGGTTGCTACGGTGTGTGACAAGAGTAAATAAACTTACTGCCTGGCTCTTCGTATTGTAAGAAGCGGCCTCCGCCACCACTTTCTGCGCCGCTCTCTGCCATTTGATTATGCTGTGAGAATGGAGGATCACGGCCATCGAAATGGGAGAATGGCTCGATGGAAAATAGCCATTGGTATGTTGTGCCAAATGACGCACATCATTGTAACTAGTTAGAGTTTGCTACGCGGACCCCATATTTTGACGTCACGCTTGATTCTAGCATTGAATGAATTGGGGAAAATTGGTACAGTCAGAACCACAGAGAAGCAACACTATGTAAGAGTTGTCCTGATATTGCCGCAGCACGTGTCAAAGTTCGAAGGCTCATGCTATCTGCAGCGATCCTGTTCACAAGGTCGCGTCATGAGTAGAAAATCCGCCCAACGAACGACATACGCCAATCTTTCATCACCTTTGCACGAAGGGGAAGCACGCTTGTGGCATATATCTCGGTATTCTGCCCTCACTCCGGCGCTCTGGTTTTGCGCGTGAACATCTTGAATCGCAAGAGCAGACAAGCTAGAACTTCGTCACGCTGTTCCCAATTTGATCCTGCACATCGTCATTGCCCAATTGGAGGCCTTGAGAACGTTGAAGGTGAAAAGGACAGCACTTTCGATCAAACACGCCGTGGCCGTTCTCGCATCCTTCTGCTTTCAAATCTAGGTCGCACGAAGTCGACTTTGGCACCACAGACAGCGGATCGTTTGATCCTTCCGGGCTAATTTTGAGCACCGTCCCAGAACTTCTTGCGCGTGCCGAATTGGTACAGGCAGCATTTGTGCAAGCCAAAACCGCCTATGCATGCTTATAGGCAGCACAAATTTCAGCATCCTCTCTGATTTTGCAGGACGTGTGGAGCATAGATTACAAACCAATGTCTCCTAAGGCACCACAATTCGGTGAGAAGTTTCTGCATCAGGCGATCATTGGGAGATGGAGAGTGGTACCGCTCTGAAGCCACGACAGGCAGAAGTAGAATCAAGGCAGAAAGCAAACAATGTAGGAGGTGAGAAGGAAGTACTTATATTCGACATCTTCAGTTGGAGAGCACGCCATTCACGCCCAGTCCGCATCACTTTCACGTGCAAACAACCAAGCTTCTCACCTAGATCCAGATTCCCTCATAAGCTCCATATCCGGCAATAACCATGTCTGCAAGCATAAGCACCTATGACCTCGCTGTCCCAATTCTAGTGAGAAACCTGGAGCTGCTCAACACCATCATCGACAAGGCAATCAAACATGCAGAAGAAAAGGGCAAAGATCCGGAATCATTCCTCGAAGCACATATCATCGATGACATGCTGGTACGTGCGAAGCTGGATAAGCAAAATATCTGATAACAACTTCTCCGGCACAGACTAATATTTGTAGCCGCTCTCCTTCCAACTCCAAACCTGCAACCGCACAGCCCAAGGCATGCTCCCCCTCATAACCAGCCCCGCCATCGAAGCCGATAAAGACCACAAAGATAACATCGAAGAACCCAAAACTCTCGCCGAACACAAGACTCGAATCAACTACACGATCTCCCTTCGGCGATCTCTCAAGAAAGAAGACTTCGTCGAAGCTGTAAGTCCACCTTTACCTCCCATCCTTTCCCTCTCCTCCCCACTCCAATCCGTTTCTTCGCACTCTAACCTCCTCACAGTCCACCGAAACCCGCCTCCCCGTCCCACCTTCGTACCAGTCCTCCTTTCCCGGAGCATCGAAAGGCTACGTTAAGTTCACAGCTTTATCATATTTGCAGAAATATGTCTTACCGACGTTCTTCTTTCATATGGTTACTGCTTATGATATTTTGAGGAAGGAAGGGGTGCCGGTTGGGAAGTTTGATTTTTTGGGAGCGGAGGATTTTGAGGGGTGGGAGATGTAGAAGCCACGGGGATGTAGGATGGTTTGGTGGTGTTCCTTGAGATGGGAAATGGGAAGATGATTTGATGCATACATGGCTTTTCACATTACATAGAGTTTGGAAAGATCTTCTCCTCGTAAGTTTTTCTCGATTCCAAGATTCGTTTTTAAAAGCCTGACGGGATGCAGACAATCGTCGTGATCATCGCCCGGCTATTCACAAACGTCGATTCGTCCGAAGATATTCGTCGATCCCCTTGCCGGCCGCCTGGAACACTTCGGGTAAAGAGCTGTACAGTAAGAGCAGCACACATACACCATGATGCTCAGATGTGAACAGGGTCTTCCTCAAAGCGCAAAGTCCAGCTCAAATAGCTCCACGAGACCTTTCTAACCATGGTCGTTGGTACCGTAAGCCCAGCAATCGTCCGTCATTCCCGATCAGTCACTGCCATCATCGCCCGAATCACCAAAATCTACCAGTCCTTTGGGCTTCCTAGTTGCAGGCTTCAACTCTTCTTCACTGACTTGCTCGCCGCCACTACCCTCATTATCGTCATCGTCTTTGTCCTGGCCCCATTTCTTCGCATACTCCTGCGTAGCTTCGAGCTCAGCAGCAAGCTCCCTCCTCTCTTTGATATCCTTGGCCTTCTCATTACTGTACCGCCCAGTCATGCCGGCTTCTTCCAGCAAGCCTTTGAGGTGCTTGACTTTCGCTTTGGCGGTATCATAGGGTGCCAATTCTTTGAACCACATTTTGCGAATTCCACATTTCACGAGCCAGCCTTGAAGACGTTTGATCTCCTCTTCGCCCGGGCTCAGGCCTTCGTTTGCGGCCTTCTTGGATTTTGTGGCTTTGGCGGTAGTCTTCGACTTGGTTTTTGGCTCTGGACTTGTCTTCTTTTGGCGTTTTCGCTTGGGCGGCTCGTCAATCAGCACCGACATGTCGCTCTCATCGTCTTCGGGGGCCGCAGCTTTGCCGTTGGTATCCGGCTTGTCCTCGTCTGGCGGATCGGAAAGATCACTGCCGTCTTCGGCCTGCTCCGTTGTTGCCTTCACCTCTTTCTTGTCTTCCGTCTTGGCCGCAGGCTTTGGAGAATCGTGCTTGATATCCACATCCGACGCCTCGCTGTCCTCGACGACCTTCTCGGCAGCCTTCTTGACTGGCTTGCGTTTGACCGGTACCTTCTTTGTCTCTACCTCTGCCTCAGAATCATCATCGCTGACAGCCTTTGCACGTTTCTTCGGAGCCTTTCTCTTGGCTTGTGGTTTCTTCACTGGAGTAGCTTCGGAAAAGTCATCATCTTCATCGCTGGGTGTCACCTGAGCTTCTGATTCTTCATCATCTAAGTCATCCTCAGATTCCTGCTTGCGCGCCTTCTTCGTGGGCCGCTTTTTCTGCTCGGGAGCCTCGTCTGACTTGCGTTTCCTCCCAGCTTTCGGGGCCGGCTTTGGTGCTGGCTTTTTCGGCTTCTCTGGGGACGGCTCGTCAACAGCGAGCTCGACGATTTCTTTGCTTCGCGCCTTCCAGGTCGGATCGTGCTTGAAGAAGCCTGCTTCCAGTCCCAATTCTTGCTCGGCAGCTATCCGAGCTTTGTTCACTGTGAAGGCATCCTCCTTCATGCCGATGCGCGTGACTCGCTTCAAGCATGCTTCGATCTGATCATCGGATGGCCGTGCAGCTGCCGTGGACAGCTCGGAGTCGGACATGATTGTGGTGTAGCAGTGTGAAGGTGCATGGGACTGCCGTTCATCTCAGCACGACACGACGCGCGATGTTGATGTGCATGGCTAGCGCGTCGTGGGGCAGCCACATCCGAGTCGCCGGAAGTCAAAGTGAGCCGCGCTGCAAACAAGCACAGGCGAAGGGAAGTTTGATGCGACAGCAACTGGCAGTGTCCCAGAATTTGCTGCAGTGCATGCCGCTCACTCATACTGGCATATGACTTGCCTCATCAGCGATTTCACATGCGCGACGCTCGGATCTCTCGCGTGATGGTCGACGGAGGTCTGGTTTCGTCTTCATGATTGTGGACTGACGTATCCGACACCCCTGCTGCAGAATCAGTTCCGACCTTGGAAAGTTCACGAAGTGTCAAGTCACCGCTGCAGTCAATCCTACACAATTGCTGCAAGTGAACGCTTGCTGCCAGCACGGGACAAAGGCCTCGACCTTCACTTCAACTTCACGCGCTCGAACCCGCTTTCCGCACTCCCACCGGCCACCGCCCAAAACTCCGGCTCATCGACGGCAAGCGCGTTCTGCTGAAACCCACGCCGAAGCTTGATCACTCGAGCCACGTTCAGCTTCCATCACCAACCACATCCGATCAACGGTCGCCAGTGATATCACTGAGGTCACCGGGCTCGTGCGCGCCAACGGTCTTGTCCACCCAACGACACACCGCACCAACGCCTTCCACGCTTGACCAACTTCGCCCATTTATCGTTTGTAGGACCAACTGAGCAGCCGCGCCTCAGCTCCTGCTTCTCCAACACTCGCGCCACCTACAACTTCCGACATCTTCTATAAGCATCAACGGAAACACTATTCAAAGCGACTGCAGCCCGCAGCTTCACTGTAAGTACAGCTTTTTTCGACTCGGACTTCGAGACCCGCATGGCGCCATGGCCAAGTTATCTAACAGGCAGGCGCCTGAGTCTGCAAAAGACTGCTTGTCTGAATGCAACAATTGCTACCATGTTGAGCAATGGCGGCAATCACTCCCAGAGCACACCTACCCTTTCGAGTCTCAATATTCGACATCAGCTAACAGATAATCCTTTAGCAGAGGCAGAACCTAGCAAAATGCCGAGTTTCGACGAGACTCCTTCGCCCAAGGGCAGGCTTCTTCTCGTCTCGAATCGTTTGCCCATCACGATCAAGCGTTCCGATGAGGGCCACTACGATTTCTCAATGTCTTCCGGCGGTCTGGTAGCTGGTCTGTCAGGTCTTTCCAAGAGCACCAAGTTCCAATGGTATGGCTGGCCCGGTGTCCAAGTGCCGGAGAATGAACTCGGCCATGTGAAGCAGCGACTGTTCGACGAGTACAGTGCGGTGCCTATTTTCATGGATGACGAACTTTCTGATCGCCACTACAACGGCTTCTCAAACAGCATCCTCTGGCCACTTTTCCACTACCACCCAGGTGAGATCACCTTCGACGAGTCTGCATGGGATGGCTACGTGGAAGCCAACCGCATTTTCGCCAAGGAGATCGCGAAAGATGTCCAGGATAATGACTTGGTCTGGGTTCATGATTACCACCTGATGCTTCTTCCCGCAATGCTGCGGGAGGAGATCAACAAGGGGGGACCAAACAAGAAGAAAAACGTCAAGTTCGGCTTCTTCCTCCACACTCCATTCCCATCCTCCGAAATCTACCGCATCTTGCCTGTCCGCAACGAAATTCTTCAAGGCGTTCTGCACTGCGATCTGATCGGCTTTCACACATACGACTACGCTAGGCACTTCTTGTCATCATGTGCACGCATCCTGGGACTCGCCACCACTCCAAACGGTGTCGAGTTCGGAGGAAAGCTAATCACTGTCGGCGCCTTCCCGATCGGTATCGATCCAGACAAGTTCGTACAGGGTCTGCAGAAAGACAATGTCATTCGGCGGATAGAGACACTCAAGAAGAAGTTCGATGGTGTCAAGATTATTGTTGGAGTTGATCGTCTCGACTACATCAAGGGTGTCCCTCAGAAGTTGCATGCTCTCGAAGTCTTCCTGACGGAGCACCCGGAGTGGATCGGCAAGGTGGTACTTGTACAGGTCGCTGTGCCATCAAGACAAGACGTCGAAGAGTACCAGAACCTCCGTGCGGTGGTCAATGAGCTTGTCGGTCGCATCAACGGCAAGTTTGGCACCATCGAGTTCATGCCAATCCACTTCATGCACAAGTCCGTCAGCTTCGACGAGCTCACGGCACTCTACTCAATCAGCGACGTATGTCTGGTCAGCTCCACTCGTGACGGCATGAACCTGGTCTCCTACGAGTATATCGCCTGTCAGCAGCAACGCCACGGCTCATTGATCCTGTCGGAATTTACTGGTGCCGCACAGAGCCTCAATGGCGCCCTGGTTGTCAACCCATGGAACACCGAGGAGCTCGCCGATGCCATCCACGATGCCGTCACCATGGGCGATGAGCAGCGCACGATGAACTACCAGAAACTGGCCAAATATGTCAACAAATACACCTCGGCCTGGTGGGGCGAGAGCTTTGTGACAGAACTCACTCGCATCTCAGAGCAAGCTGAGAAGAAACTCCGGGTCCGCCGCACTAGTACTCTGGATCCTGCAGGAACGGCCAACGACCACGACCTCCCGGACGGAGCCAAGAAGGATGATTCTAGTCAGCCTGCGATTGCGGACTCGCCTGGTGAGAGCCAGACTGTGAACGCGACCGAGAAGGAGACTAAGTAAGAATCTTCCACCCCCATCACCATCTATCCTGTCCCACTCTAGTGTGCTGGCCCTTTCCCATCCTTGAATTCATCAAGTGCCCTGCTGGCTTAACGATGACTGACCTGTGCCTCTTTTTCCTTCTGCATAGGGATGAGTATGAGGATGAAGACGATGAGGGTCTGGTGATGAGGGTCAAGCCGAAGAGTCCTCAATAGTCTGTCTTCGCGAATACGACTGGGGTGATCTTGGTACGTCAACAATAGTGCGCACAACACGAGTTTCGGCGGCATTAGCGAGGGAGAAGGTTTCGGCGTTGATGGTAGATGGGTCATAGAGGCTTGCGAGGGCGAGAACTACAAACAGGCAGGAACCTGGCAGCAATACGTTCCTCACTGAAGTGAAGCAGCACTGATAGAGAATTCAGTCCAATAAATGTACTTATGGTATGCATGATGACTTATGAGTAGTGGTGGAACTGGTATCCTATTTACTTCTCTTTGAAGTTTCTTTCATTGTCATTCCACTCTTCCTGGTTTCAGGGAAAGTGTTCTATCTACCCATTTGGTATCGGTGGCTGCGACGGTAATCCAACGCCCGCCTCTTCAATCGAGGCCAAACAACAGTTCGTACCACTAACCTGCGCCCCTCCCATTCGAGCTCGAAAGCCGAGAATGCACCCATTCCTCCTCTTCAATGCTATATGCTTCGCCGCCAACAACGCCTTCTCGCCGCCTCCTGGTTTCTATAATTGTTAAGTACAAAAGAGGGTATATGAAGATTCCCCATCCGCCCCGTAGCACGCCGAACAAACAAAAGGATAAAATATATGCTTCTTTGCCATGCAAGTTTCGTTTCTTCCTTCGTTCTTCCCTCAACATGCCAAGGTATAAGCTGCCGATAGCCAAGATCAAATATGCGGAGCAAGCCATCTCTCCTAAGCGTTGGGATCGCTCCATCTTAGGCTTCGTCTCGATGCGAGCGGGTTGCTGGCGACGAAAGCGGGCGCAGGAGGTGGCGGGAGAGGTGCAGCTGGCGACATGGGTGGTAGAGAGGTGTGGGAAGGTCGGATGTTCTCTTTACCCGTTGTAGCGGCGACTCGCGTGAGCGAGAGAGCAGGAGCAGGAGCGTTGAGTGCAGGCCGAATGTTCTCCCTCGTCCGTCTTCCATGGCCTCTCCCAGGAGATCCGGTAGCAGCGTCAGTTCGATCCCTGATATTCCACTCCTCGCGCAGATGAAGATACTCATCAGCGTTTCTCTCCCGCAAAGATGGCGAATTCTATTGCGCCTGGCTGCCGGATGCTTCGCTCTCGCTCTTGCGTTGGCCAAAGACACCTCCGAGTTTCTCAGTAAGACCTTGTCCAACGCCGCCAGCACTACCCAGTGGCGGGGAGTGCACAGAGTCGCGATTGTTCGTGGCAGGTGGTGCAGCGCCTCCCTTGTTCATCCAGCCGAACCAGCTTCCACGATTGGCTTGCTTCTTCGCCGCGTCTTCGTCGGCAGCTTCCTGGACCAGCCGGAGAGGACGAGGTTTGGAGCCCATCATGATGGCGCCACTGGGCTTATCCCTGTCGCCTGAGCTGGTTGTACTGCGCGGCGGTGACGATGGGTGTGATGAAGGGTTGGACCTTTCGTTGTTGATATTGAGCACATTGTCCTCGTCAATGCCAATGTTGCCAGGGTTAGAGATGACACTGTTGCGGTTGCTGGCATTGCTGCCCATCTTGCTGTCTCTCGCATTGTCCTTGTCACCATGATTTTCAGAAATGGTTGGGACTTGTGATCCTGATGATGGAGCTCGTCCGAAGAATGAGTTGCGGTTGATCGGAGATGTGAGACCTGGGCTCAGAGGACCCGAATTTGGTGAAGGTCCGCGATACATGTTCGTCACCACGCTTGCAGCGGGCCACTCTGAGTTGGCTCGGCGGTGCCCACTGGGTGCTCTGGTCGACCTAGCTCGTGCTATTGGTACACTTGGAGCTGTCGTAGGATCCTCATGCAATGCCGGTCCCTTCGCTACAGGCTCGCTCAGTTCAGATGGGGTGAGCGTTTGCGATAATGGTCGCGGTCGAGGCTTGGCGGATCCTCCCATGACACTCTTCGCTCTCTGCAAAAGACTGGGCTGCTCATTTTCGCCTCCTGGTGGTGGCGGCAGGTCTTTATCCGTGTTTGCTGCTCTTCGCCTCCGGGCGGCGTCAGAGCCTCCCATGAGATCCGGCGTCTTATCGAGGATCGCTTCGAATTGGTCATGTTGCAGCAGGCGGGAGATGATATTATTAATATACAACGTCAGAGCCTTGTTCGCGTCCTTGAGGCCGTTGATCTCGGCTTGCAGGCGTCGCGTGTCTCCTTCAATCTCGCTTTCGTCGGCGTGAGAGTCGAGCTCGTCTGCGAGAGTTGTACCGCTTGTGCCTTCAGCGTGTCGGGAAGGTGGACGAGACTCGCTGTGTGCGGGTCCTCGCATGAAGTCTCCTTGCAGTGTCTTTTCGCTGAGCAGGAGCTGGAAGGATTCGTTCTCTTCCATGAGACGGGCGTTGTGCATCTTGACGTCGTACAGCTGCTTCTGAATCTCCTGCATGCGGCCACCACCCATGTTCTCCACCTCGACGAGCTTGATCTGTGCTTCGGCGAGCTCGAGACGTAACCCTTCAATGATCTTGTCTTTCTGGTTGACCAGCTTGGAGTTCATTCGTGACATCGAATCGCTTCGGGAAACGGAGGGAGGAGCGAATTGGCGATCAGAACCATCTGGACCTGGCGAGCCATTTGCACTTCGCGCATTGCTCGAGTGCCTAGAGAGAACGGGCCTCCGGTCATCATCCAGGCCGGCACGCATTTCCCGCTGAGCAAGGGTCTCCTTCATACGCTGGAGGGCAGTCTGCATCTCCTCTTCCCGCTTCAGAGCCTCCTCCTTCTCCTTCATCGCGGCCTCCTTTTCGCTTTCGTAGATCTGTTCAATCTCTCGTCGTGCTCGTAAGCTCTCCTTCTTCTCGTTCTCGAGGTCGTTGATGCGCTCAGTGTGCTCGTGGACGGTCTCCTCCAGCATGCCTTGCTCCTTATGAGCCTCGTCAAGTTTCACCTGAAGTACTGCAGCCTGCTTGTGTGACTCTTCGCAAGCGCGCTCGGCTTCTTGGAGTTTCTGTTGCAGGTCCTCCATTTTGGCGAGGAGTTCTGCTTTAGCATCTTCGTCGGCAGCGTTGTCGGTGGCTGATTTGCCTCTCACCGCTGCTCTCGCAGACATGGGAGCGCCGTTTCGTGTTGAACGCGTGCGATTGAGGGAGGCCGTTGCGCCCGCACCAGCCGCACTGTTGGTCGCGCTGGACGACATTTTGGAGGGCGAGTCTCGACCAGCGCTGGAGCCGGCTGCGGCAGCCGAATTGTTGGTGGCAGCGGCGGGGGTGCGGCGAGCAGCAGCGGGGATGGGTGGTTTCTTGGTGGTGGGCGTGCTGCTGGACATGGTCGGCGCACAGGCGGGCGTTGTTGGGGTTGGCGGCGTGAAAGCAGCAGCGGCGATGGATTGGCGGTCGGCGCGGGCGAACTAAGTTTTGATGACCTCGTCGGCCAGCTTAAGCATCCATCCAACTCTAAGAATAGGCGTCACGCAGGCGGGCAGTGCTCGTTATAATCGCAGCACGTTGGCAATATGGACGTCCCCAACGGCGATCGGAGGAGCGGCGAGGGAGAGAGCAGCAACTGGTAAATACAGAGTCGGACAATCGATAAGCTGCTGAAAAGGAGACGAGACGACGGGGCATGCACTGGGAGAGATTGCGACCACCGCCCGTCGCGACTAAAGCGCCCTCTCCACACAAACACTCGCTCATCCCGGTCGACAGCACGTGCCGTTGCTGGAAGTGGTGCACATTGTCTGCCAACTTCATTCCTCGACCCCTGCCAACGAGGCCCGTAGCCAGCGCATGACATCTGCTCGCAGTCCTGCATCTCTCATCACTCGGGAGTGTGTCAGAGATGCCGCAGGTGGAGGTGATCAAACTTGCGGGAGTGCCACGGGCAGGTCGACACGACCGCATCTCCACCTGACTCAGGCGGCCGCACTCTTGGCGCATTCTCTGAACCGACGTCCATGAAGCTCGACATTCGCGAGAAACATTGACATTCGCGCAGTCCAGCACTGCACGCCACCTCGCCCGCCATGGACCTCCGCACATATGTCTCCGACCACTTGCTCAAGCTGGTCGGAGCGAGCGAGGACATGATTGTAGATTTTGTCGTTTCCGAAGCGAAACGCGCAAAGTCGCCCGCACAGCTGCTGGACAAGCTGTCGACCATGCTAGATTCGGGTGATGATGACTTGCGACGCTTTACCGACGGTCTGTATGCTCAAGTCGCAAAGCCAGCCTCGAACGGGGCTTCTGCGCAGAAACGAGAGAAACCCAAGGAAGTGAAGAAAAAGTATGCTTTGGTTGATATGGAGGTCGAAGAGGAAGCTCCGCCGCCCCCCAAACCAGAGCGCAAGAGGGAGGAGAACGGAGAGCGAAAATCAAGACATCGATCAGACAGGGAACGAAGGCGTTCGCGAAGCAGAGATCGGCACAGCAAGAAGCTGCGGCGGCGAGATGGAGATTTTGACGATCGATGGGGTGATGAGGAGGAAGAGGAGGAGGATTTTCCCTCGCCACCTGCAAAACGCACCCGGTTCGACGACGGCTCAGCGTCACCTCGCGATCGAAGTCCTGCGAAAGAGGAGCCCGAGGAAGACGAAGAGGAGCGTGACCGCAGAGAGCGCAAAGAGTTTGAGGAGAGGTTGAAGAAGAAGGAGAAGGATAGTACGAAGAAGTTGACAGAAGACCGGTCATCAAAACGAGATGCTGCGGACGCAGAAAGACGAGCACAGGCGGGGAAATTGTCAGAAGCAGAGATGAAGGCGTTGAGGTTGCGATCGCGGCAGGACTACCTCAAGAAGCGATCTACCCAGGAACTGGCTTTGCTGCGAAGACAGGTTGCCGATGAAGAAGAGGAAGAGCGGAACAACCCCGATCTGACCCAGGCGGAAAAGGATGAATTTGCTCGGAATCGAGAAGCTCTGCGGCTCGCCGAGGAGCGAGAGGGCATCGACGATCATATCGATGGCTACGCTATGCCGGACGACTATATTACGGAAAAAGGCAAACTGGATACGAAACGGAAAGAACAGGCTTTATACAGCCGGTATGTCGAACGTGACGACCAAGGCCGCGAGAAGTATGTGACGGAACACGAGGAATGGGAGCGGGAGCAGCTGGCCAAGACGAAAGCGCAAATTGTGGTTGCCGATCAACCGGAGGTTGGGGACTACGAGTATGTGTTTGACGAAGAACAGCAGCTTCGATGGGTGACAGATGCCGTGCTCAAGGGCGGTATGAGCAGTATGAAATCGCCGCAAGAGCAGCTTCTTGCGCAACAAATGCTGGCAGCGGAGAGGAAGGCCAAGACTATGGAGGAGAAGCGGAAGACTCTACCTGTCTATCAATACCGACAACAGTTCCTGGATGCTGTGCGAGAGTACCAAATTCTCATTATTGTTGGAGAAACCGGTAGTGGCAAAACTACACAACTTCCGCAGTTTCTATACGAAGACGGCTACTGCAAGAATGGCATGAAAGTGGGCTGCACTCAGCCGCGTCGTGTTGCAGCCATGAGTGTTGCCGCACGTGTGGCAGAAGAGGTTGGCGTCAAGCTCGGAAACGAGGTCGGATATGCCATTCGATTCGAAGACAACACATCAGACAAGACAGCACTCAAGTACATGACCGATGGTATGTTGCTGCGTGAGTTCTTGACAGAGCCGGATCTTGGAGGGTATAGTGCTTTGATGATTGACGAGGCTCACGAGAGAACATTACACACGGATATCCTGTTCGGCCTGGTGAAGGATATCGCAAGAGGCCGACCAGATCTCAAGTTGCTGATCTCGTCGGCAACGCTTGATGCGCAGAAGTTCAGTGAATTCTTCGACGATGCACCGATTCTGAACATCCCTGGACGTACCTATGATGTCGAGATGAATTACTCGCTGCAGCCGGAAGCCAACTACCTTTCTGCCGCCATCACGACTGTCTTTCAAATCCACCTCTCGCAGCCCATGCCTGGCGATATTCTGGTCTTCCTGACTGGTCAGGATGAGATTGAGCAAGCTGAACAGTCGCTCCAAGAAACAGCACGGAAGCTAGGGAAAGCAGCACCGGAACTGCTCATTTGTCCCATCTATGCCAATTTGCCAACAGATCTTCAGCAAAAGATTTTCGACCCGACACCTCCGAAATGTCGCAAGGTCGTGCTTGCCACAAACATTGCCGAAACCTCTCTGACGATCGATGGTATCGTCTATGTTATCGATCCTGGCTACGTCAAAGAGAATCGATACACACCAGCAACGAATATGGAGTCGCTCGTGTCGGTTCCGATCTCTCGTGCTTCGGCGAACCAGCGTGCTGGCAGAGCCGGACGAAACCAGCCTGGCAAGTGCTTTCGCTTGTACACCAAATGGGCATACTACAACGACCTCCCCGAGTCGACCACCCCTGAGATTCAACGTACCAACCTCAATTCGATCGTGCTACTGCTCAAGTCCCTCGGCATCAACGATCTCATCAACTTCGACTTCATGGATCCACCATCACCCGATATGCTGATTCGCTCGCTCGAACAACTCTACGCTCTCGGTGCCCTCAATGACAAAGGCGAACTCACCAAAGTCGGTCGTCAAATGGCTGAATTCCCTACCGATCCTATGCTGGCCAAGGCTGTCCTGCAAGCCGACAAAGAAGGCTGTGTTGATGAAGTCCTGTCGATCATCGCCATGCTCGGTGAAGCCGCAGCACTCTTCTACCGACCCAAAGACAAGAAACTCCAAGCCGATGCTGCTCGTGCTCGCTTCACAGTCAAAGAAGGCGGCGACCACTTGACCTACCTCAACATCTGGAACCAATGGGTCGACGCCGACTTCAGCTATGTCTGGGCCAAAGAAAATTTCCTCCAGCAACGCAGTCTCACCCGCGCCCGCGACGTCCGCGACCAACTCGCCAAACTCTGCGACCGCGTCGAAGTCACAGTCTCCTCCTGCGGCAGCTCCAACCTCCAACCTATTCAACGCGCCATCACAGCTGGTTTCTTCCCCAATGCGGCGAGATTACAGCGTTCGGGCGATAGTTATCGAACTGTGAAGAATAATATGACGGTGCATATTCATCCTTCTTCGGTATTGATGGATGTTAGGCCGAAGTGGGTTATCTTTTATGAGCTGGTTTTGACGAGTAAGGAGTTTATGAGGAGTGTTATGCCGTTGCAGCCGGAGTGGTTGATGGAGGTTGCGCCGCATTATTATAAGAATAAGGAGGTGGAGGGTTTGGGGGTTGATAGGAAGATGCCGAAGATTTAGGTGGAGGGTCGTGATAGGTAGACTGATGTATCGGCTGAATGAATGCTGCCTGTGTGTGATCCACTTCTGTGTAACATTCTGATGATTGATTGTCTTGGCGTGAGGATGGGGCCCGGAAAGTTTGGAGGATTGTTTTGCCGATTCCTTCCCTATCCTTCTCTCCACAACGCCACTTTCCTTTCGTTATGTCAATACCCTCACGACTGTTCAGAACAGCAAGACCTGGCTGCGATGTCAAAGGTTCCAGCTTGAGACTGGTGCACAAACAGACGTCGCGACCGTTGACGTACTTCCGTCGCGTGCCCGGCCTCAGCGAGCAGACGCCGTTGAGAGACACTTCGGAAGCTCAGTCGTTGCGAACGGCACAAACTTCGACATTACGGCAGACACAATCCAGAAGCGAAGATACGCGTACCAGTTCAACCAAAGACTACTTCGTTTACCAACATGGACGAAAACACGATTTCTACGAGTATTTCCTGCAGAAAAGAAAAATCTCAAAGCCACCCATCCTATCGCCATGGATTCTATCTCTCGATCCCCATCCCAAGTCACTTCCTACAGAGCTGGATCAAAACCTCCTAAGAATTTTTGACGATACTGGAGCCGACTTGAATCTTGTGAAGCTATGTCTACAGACGTTCGTCGCACGGGCACATCGGGACCACGGCAATGGCCCAGAAGCACGAGAGCTGTACAAGTCTACCAAGATTGGCGTGAGTCTAGTTGTTCCCGAAGCGTGTGCGAAAGCATTATGTTGACTTTCGTGCCTGCGTAGTCCCGAGCGCTGCTCTGGTTCCTCGACCATGCTTTCGAAACGGTAGACATTGCGCTAGATGTTACCTGGCCAGAGCTTCTAGCACACTGTCTAGTCGCTGAAGATGATACTCATAAGCTTCTACACCACTGGCTAACAATGAATCAAACTCCCGAGTACGCGGCGGTATGGGATGCAAGGGAATGTAATCGATGGCGAAGTACAATATTCCGACTGGCCATCGACTCGATGGTGTTCTGGGCCAACGAAATCAGCGCAGGTATCAACGTTGGGCTGAAGTTTTTTAATCACATTACCAAAAATCCAAGCGAAACAAATCGGATTCCCATTTTTGGCGCTGGGACGACAATGGACTCATATCTTTCAAACTTCGACACAAGCAAAGTCGATGTGTCGGAGCTCAAGCAGTTCATGCGGATGATGATGCTGTGGGCCCCGCCAGGGACCATGAGGCATTCATGGGTAACGGCGAGACTGATGCTCAATTATCCTAGCGGTCCTCGGCCCGCAGCCGCTCTGGATCTGTTCTTAGATGTCGATGCCAATCGGGCAGACTTCTTCAAGACAGGAGACGGTCCTTTCAATGCATCAATCATGTCAGCCATGGTGCGCACCGCCCAAGGCCTTCACAGCATGGGAAGAAAGCGCGATGCTCGGCGAATTCTCTCGATTGGTCGCAACAGACTGCCCACTTACTTCAAGGTATGCAAGGTGACGGATACAAACAGGGACAAGTTGAATGGGCAAGCGGTAATTCGAGTGCTCGACATGCGTTATTCAGAGACCACCGGTCGCTCCCGCCTCATTGAAGACCATACGCACGCTCAACGTGCGATCAGGTCGGAGATGCTTCGGAACAGGTAAATGTTCTGAACAAGGAAATGTGACAGGGACGAAGCTGCAGTTGGACGGTATCCTACGATTTTCTCGCATACTGCCATCCGAGTGCTTTCCCGACCACTCGTTCTAAACCCACTGCACAGCGGCTTCACGCCTCCTTGCTGTATGTGCACCCACGGCGCTAATTCTATTTCGACACCTCCATGGCCACGGTCTGAATACGTTCAAGGGCATCACCGGAGGTTTCAACAGTGCAGCGAGCGTGTTCCAATATGTCGGAATTCTCCCAGCTTCGGAACCAAAGAAGTGCCACTTGGACTTCGAATCCACTTTCATCGGTCGACTGCTGCGGAAAATGCGACTGAGAATGGATGTTCTCGGGCTTTGAGACCATGCTGTGTCATTTCCGCCTGGGAAAGAAGATGATGCTAAGCACAAGAGTGAACGTCTCGCTGCTGCTGGCATCCATACGGTTGCGGGAATTGAATTGTTCCATTGGGGAAAGCCCAAGCGTACATCTCTGGAGAGTTTCAGGGCGTAAAGTCAATCCATATGCTTCATGGAGCTGCCGTGCTGTCAAGATTGTGGATCGCGGCTCATAATTGGATTCAACTGTCGATGACCCAGATGCGTGGTTCCCTTCAAGACAAGTCGCCGAAGGGTATCTCAGCGAGGTACGACCATGGCACACTCCACTACACAAATTCTATTCGGAGAGCATAGTGCTGAAACAGCCTGATGTGCATTACAGCATGAGGTCAGCACGATATCAAATTTGATTTGCTCTGGAACTGACAGATCTGTGATTGGGCAACGACGACTCGCTTCTGTCGAGGTGGAACGGAAAGGCTTCCCCGTGCGATGCGTCAAGAGTGCACAACGAAGAGTGAACTGCTTGCACGCTATGCTCGTTTGGTTCAGGTGCATGCAGGATCTCGCTTGCATGCAAGGCATGTGCAGAACCACATGTTTTGCGCTTTTGCCCTGTTTCTACAGATGATGGTTGCAGTGCTATCGCCCTTTGCCTCTCCACGCCATACTTCGACCTTTGAACCTGGTCACATCGCTTTGAGACGTAACATACTGCGACATGTGTTTCTTCGAATGCTACAAATACTCTTGTCGCGATTGGAGATGGGGCAATTTCAGGCAACACTGTAACCGAGAGTGGCGGCTAGGAGAGACATGTGACATGAAGCTTTTGTATTGTACCATCGATCTGCCTAACAAGTGCACTTTCTGCGAGAAGATTGAAACAAAGCTTCGTAAAAGAGAAAGAGCTCTATCTGATCGGGAGCGTTGGCTTGAAGAACCGCAACGCTTCCACGCCTCTATACAGAAGGCCACGGAGGATATCGAAGTGCTCGAAAGGGAGATTACAGCTGCACAAGCCGAGAAGGATCGCAAATACCAGAATGTTGGTAATACGAAGCGCCCCTCGGATGGATTCGAGCATGATCTGGACTATCGATCCAATAACCCAATATACAATGTTGAACGTGTCGATCGCCCAGCAAGAGGAGCCTTTGCGGCCGCATCAGCCCACAGACCGTCACCCCTTTCTTTCAAACGCGTTCGCAAGGCTTGCGACAAATCTTTCGGAGACCCAGAAGAGCCATGTCATCATCACTCCACCATGAAAAACAACATCGACCTCGTACAACCCGAGCGCACTTTCAAGGAGCCGGACAATGCAAACGGGAATTGTAAGATCAGTGGCGAGAGCAGTGAATTTAGAGAAACAAGAAATGATGAAGCACAGGAAGTAGATCGAGACCGCCGCGAGAGCCAATCCGTGGCTGCGTACAAGACTCAAACACAATCCTATTCGTCGGCCTTAGATAGTGGAGCGCTCGAAGACCACGTTTTCAGGCCCTCATCGACAAGTGACTTATTTGGCACAGAACAGCGCCCAGTCGTTCATTCATTACTCGGAGAGGCGCTGGATCGCGTCGAAGAAATAGAGGTCGAAGTTGATGCTTCGCGGAAAATTCAGGCCGGCCCTGAAACAGAACGCTCCTATCATGAGGGGCAAGGTCGAGGTATAGATGCCTATAGAGTTCCACAGCCTGTGGTGTACTTGACTGATACTCCCGTCATCGGAGCAACGAGCGGGGTCAGAGGACAAACACAGGCCATACCAGTAGCGGCAATGGAGACTGGCAACAAGTATTCAAGTCAAAAGCACAAAGATGAGCCGGAGATCTGCAACGAGTGCCTGGAATCAGAGCGGAACCCAAAGGGTTACGTGAAAGTTTCGTCGCCGGATTCTGTCGATGACAGTGAAGGGTTGGACAAGCTAGGGCTGGACCGCAGTCAAAACACTAATGCCACACATGACGCTAGCAATGGTCTATCCAGTTGCGAAAGTGTACCACCAGTGTTCGACGAAGGCTTCGCAGATGCTTTGCCTCCATCCTCGAGAGCGGGGCCGCCATGCACTCCGTCGGCCACATCAGATTTGCTTGCAAGCTCTAAGGCGCGGGCATCTCCTACTGGCCCCGTTCTGCACCCTCAGGACTACGACAACTATGCGATCAGCACACCTGAGGGCGCATCGAGCGGTCGTCACTATAATGATAGCTCTGTCACAAGCCCACATACCAAGTCGAGAAGATCGTCCACAGGAAGCTATGTCCCACCGACTGGTCCAGTTTCGATGCTCGAAGGTGAAGAGGCAAGCAACCGCCGTGCGTTGATGCATACAGTTCGGGGGCTTCGAAGGCGTGCGAGAGACCTCTTATGCCAGACACATGCTCGCGATCGTGCCCGAGTTGGCTCGAGCAGTAGTGTCGTACAGAATCGTACAATTCGACGACGACATAGTCTACCTGCTTCGCTTCGCGGCGAGGGCGGACTGAGGAGAATCGACGACCATGAGCAGCGCCTCAGAGAGGTTCCAAACGGGGTTCCTGGTAACTCAGGATCGACTACAAATTCTCATTGGCAAGTCTCAGATGCTTCATCCACTGCCCCTGGTGCCAGTGGACGAACGAGCATTCCGGCCAGCGGTATTGGTGCGCCAAGTAGAGACTCAAGTCCACCAGCGAAGCGTCCGCGGTCTTCATTACAACCAGGAAAGAGAGCCTCGGAAGCAAGGCTCCGCTGCATCTTTTCCGTTGGCGAGCCGGAGATCTACTTCGACCATACTCAGAAGTACGAACACATTGCGGAGCTCCTGTGAGTTGGCTCGATCAACGTCCCCAAGGATGCAACTGACAGATCGAAGCCGTCATCTGAGAGCATGTCCTCATGGTTTCCACGCGTGCCAATTCTGCCTTCAAAAGTTTGACACTAAATCCGCCAAAGAGCAACACATTTGTGTCAAAAGATGTCCCAACTCCTCGTGCAGGAGGAAGGTCTCCATAACAGACCCACAGCCATCCGCGTGCGTTTGTGTCACTACCGCGGAGCAGCAGTGGCAACATCTGTACCACCTACAGTATCCAAGTCACCGTTATCGGCCCACTGAAGGTATTGCTGCCGGCCTAGCTCAGGACGGTGAGCATTCTCCGACTCAGCCAATGCAAGATAATAATCTTGAACGCACGAATTCTGCTCATGCTGAATCGCAATCAAGCACAGAACGTGTCAGCCTATCTGGAGCCTTGCAAAGCGAAGAAATTACAGCTGCATCGTTTGCTGCCCACACAGAAACCCTGATGAACGAGGTGCAGTTGCTCCGGCAAGAGCTGCAGATTCTTGAACAACGAACGGCTTCTCGACCGACTCAACGAGAAGAAGACCTGGAAACGGTCGTTGCAAATCTTTGGGAGGGTTTATGTCGCTCTGGTAGCCAAGAGGCCCGATCGGAAGGTGCTTTGTGGCGTTTAGTCAGACGGCATGCACCCAATGTGCTCAGCACAGCGACGATTGATTCAGTGTCCCAGCCACAGAGTATGGTGAGCAACATCGTGTCAACAGCAATAGAAATGCCTGGCTTCCAGTGGGAAGACTTCACAGATATTCCCACGTTTGGTGAACTATCAAAGGCGCCGCATGCAGACTCCGGACATGGGAGCGGGAGCATGCTATAATCAGGTCCAAAGCGGCTTTTCTATTGGAGTACAGAACTCACATTTCATGATGCAGACTCCTCATACACGACGATGCGATATTCTACGCTGCCGCTTTTACGATGCCGTCGAAGCCTCTATCTCGGATCTGTTGCAGGCGGCCTTCTCGCCACCAAAGAGACTCCTATGACATCTTCCTGATTCAATATGCCACCATGAATTGTCGGCTCTGTATTGTCAGGAGGCCCAAGGGTTGACCTCCATCTGAATCGTTTCAATCGCATGCTCATAGGTTGGAAGTCAGATTTCGCGGTGCCAAGATATGCACAGAACGACGGAAGAACGCTTCCAGACGGTCAACCGATACCACGCGTGCGACCAAGCCGGACGTATAGCCTCGTGCGCAGAAGGTCGATACACCACGCACTTTCGACAGTCCGGCTGGCTGTTGGAGCAAGCCGGGAGCGTTGGCTTACGCGCGCGTAGTTGTCTCGACTTGACGAGCATTTAGTTCCCATGTACGAGCTTTTTTAACTAGCCATTTTGCCAGCTTGACCAGGTCCAGGCGCGAGTATTGCTCGAGGCTGCGTTGCATGGTTCCGAGATCAGTGTACAGGTGTATAAGCCAAGCAGACGTACAGCGCCTTCAGCAGCACCACGCTGTCAGCTTCACCTTAGCAGATTCACCCAAGCCAAGCTTGAAATGTCCATCTCTCGTAACATCGTAGCAGGACGGTGCATCAATTGGCGCAAAAGTCCCTTTCGCGAGCCCTGTCCAGGACAGTGCGAAAATCCACACGCAAGGACATAGCGATTTCTGAGAGATAGATTCCATCCACCGGCCATGTCAAGGTCTGAGCCTTAATAAGTGAGAGCCTGCCGATCGTACATATGTAGCATGTACTGCAAAGTGGTGGTGGGGTTGACTATTCCTGATATGGAAAGCAGCCTTCTCAGAGGAGGCAGCTCGCGCCTTCCATAATTCGCTGTTCAAGAAATGACTTCTCAGAAACAGACCGAGTTCGATATGCAAGCGCGGAATTTGTTTTCAAAGCCTGCGCTCCAGTCGCCTCTGGATTTGTGCGCCTCAGATCGAATTTTTATTGCGCGAGAAGCGTATCGTTGTCGTCGTGTCTCGCATCACGTGGGTAAAATCACGTGTTAGCCTTGGCGTACTCAACACACGCCTGTTGCACAGCAAGAGCTCGATTTCGAGCGCCCAAATTTCAAAGTCAGAGCAGGAGGGCCTCTGCGTTGTGAAGTAGGTGCAAGAGCGAAACAGCTCGTTGGTGCAGCTTTCGAGAAAGTGTCTCCGAATCGCGAAGGATTCAAAAGAGGACACTGCGCCACACGCCGGTCTTGGCCTCCAGCTTGTACCTTGGTGCCATGCTCATAGGACGTACCTTCAGAAATTTATGTTCTATATAACGGACAGAGGAAAGCACTCATGCTCGCACATCTTGAGACGACTCAGACAGACCTAGAGACCTGGCCACAGGCTCTTCATAAATCTAGTTTCCCCATCTTGTACGACGCTTGAAGCTTTGTTGGCACAGAACCCACCCATCCACGTCCATCACTTGCATACCACATAGCCACGCCAAGGACAGATCTCTATGCCTATGGACACCGGAGACTTCTTCCAACTGTTGTTCGGCCTCTTGACAGTCCTCATATCACTCGTCTTGCTCGTTCTGAAATGGAGTAAGATCAAAGGCATGACCATCAGAGACCGTCGTCTTAGTCATCGCTGACTAGGGAGGAGCATTATTCCCTAGCCGTCAAAGCGTTCGACCGCTTCTTCCCACACACTACACCACGCCCAACACAACATACATCTTTCATGTCGGACACAACATCAATCAATTCTTCGCAGGGCAGGCACAGTGGATCGGCACATCGATGAGGAGATTCGAGGCAGCAGTCTCCCAACCATTGCAAATCGATAATGGGACAAATGGCCAAGACATGGAGCTGGGTGATCAGAGACTTCGTCTTATGGCGGAAGAGGGAGAGGATTGAAATGTCGTGTCGTCGATCATTCGTTCGAAGAGCCAGCCGTCGAGATATCTGTCGATCTTTACCTGAACCAGGCAGAAGAGATACATAGTGGAGCCAGCACGTGCAGCGAATAAATTACAATCGGTTCTTGTTCACTGCAATACAATCAATGGGTAGCCTCATCACTCCTTTACCTCAATCCAGCCAAGATCAATGCAACCATGACCAGAATGGGCACTACACCGCCGCCAAGGGTGATTACAGCAGCGCTGCTTCCAGTACTCGTCTCGTTATTCGATCCCGATGGAGTAGCAGATCCTCTCCCAGAAATATCATTGAACGTGCAATCCAGCAACGGAGGGCCTTGAACAAAATCTCCTCCTCCATCTGGCCCATACCACAAGCACTCCTGAAAAGCTCGCAGTCGCTCTCCATGCCTCATGCCGTTCTCCAAGGTCTCATCGTCCGAGAACGCATCATCGTTGACCCTGCACCACGTGTGGCATTGGTCTTGAACTTAGACATCGTCGCTGAAACCATACCATTCGCAGCAGGGTCTCATTCGTGGGTGTCTGCAGATGGATTTAGTCTGTGCAGAGGGATGGTGGCGTGCTGGCTACTGACCCTTGGCCTGCAAGACAGTAGCTGCCGGAGACGCCAGGAGTTCGGACACTGGAGATCGAGCAGTCGAGTGCAGGTCGTGATGTTGTTGAGACAGTGTATGAAGCGGTCGTTGAGGTTAATGCAGGCGTCGTGCTCGGGGAAGACTCCATGGTGGGATATCGCTGATTCTCAGTCACAAGTTTGTGGATGTTGAAGTACTTGTACCACGCAGGTCTTCTGTACGACTTTTTCGAGGCGGGAGAAGGCTCTCTTCAGTGACCGTGAGAGTGAGCGGCGAAGCTAACATTGCAGGTCATCTGCTGCGGAGGAGAGTCCATCCATCTGTATTCATAGCCTCGGCGCAACGTCACACTGCTGGTGTATCCACATTCGGGCCAGATTATCTCGGCAAGCCAAGAGCTGATGAGCACCCGAATCAATGCTTTCCTTGCGTGAGTTGGTTGTCCATAATGTAATCTATGCATCCAAGTGGCACAGGTTCGAGTAAGGTTTGGGGGACTGGCTGTTAGTGAAGAGACTAGTGCTAAAAGGATGTGATCAGCACATCGTCTTACCATGTCAAGCTGTGCCTTAGCCCGCGAAACTTCGAAAGCTGCCGTAGGCCCGGGACAGCCGTTTGACTTCATGCAACGCTGGAATCGCAAGAATGATCCTCTAAGTAGCCATTGAGGTCCTTCAGTAGACCAGACTGGATGATGAATCCGGAAAGTCCGATCTGGAAGCACCAGATTCGTATGACTTGGAACTCAACCATTTCGATTCTCCATCACGAATTCTGCCTGAGGCCACGAGGTCCATGAACAGACAATCTGTTCTGTATCGTAGACGATTTCGACGTCTAAGATTTCCAGTATGGATTCCGATGGTTCCCGCTCGACTTCGTGTGTTGCGCTACTGGAGTGTATTGTGATATGCCGTTTGGGTTGTATTCATCGTCCATATTATCATGTGAGCTTGGGTTCCAACTTTCAGGCAGGCCAAATACGCCGGGCTGAGTATCCTGAGGCAGACGTGTTTGGCATCCGTATGGGAGCCAGCGAACTCTTCCTAGCGCAGTGGGCGTCTCGTCACATATTATTTTCCCATGACTGCAAGGATGATTAGCCAATTTGTCTTTAGCCGGAATTTCAGCAGCTGCGCAGCCACAGTGCCTCCAGCAGCATGGCGTTTGAGGAGCAGCCGCCATGCTCGCCGCATGCATGATCCTTCGCATCGCCCAATCAGCCCCCAAGCGATCAGAAACGAGAAGCACCAGAAATTGGGCAGAAGAGAGATGCACCTCATTGCCTTCGCCTTGGAGCTGTACGCAAGCCTCTTACACGCATTGCATCGTCGCCGACCGCTGCGTGTAGGATGCAGTCCTGCATTGTGCCGATACATCCTACACCTCAGCGACTGCCTGCTGAACATCCTTTCTTGTCGCGCTCGAAAGTTTCGCGAGAGACTATGAACACAGCTGGACCATCAATAGGTCAGAGCGGATTCTATCGCCTCTGTGTCCAGATCAACTGTTCGACGCACAGTCGGGATGTTGCCCATAATGCGTGCACAGGTAGAGCCGCTAGGAGGTAATGCGAGCGAGATGGTCCATGGGTCCATCAAACGTGGGTCCATGCAAGGAGCTGCATAGCTCCACATTCATGGGTGCCAGTTCGACAACGACATCTCTGCAGGCTCGGCAGGTTGAAAATGATATATATCGTGCCTGGACTTTCTGTTAATGTCAAGTCTTGATGTCAACAGCTCATGAGTTGGAAGGAACGATTTCGTCCGCTGCTGTACAGACAAGATTGCAAGCCGACCCTTGACCAGCTACAGATACGGCGATCGGCTCTGTAATCCGTCTTTTCAATTCGGAAGAAATTGTGGAGACCGATTGCATACCCTCTCACGAGATGGATCTTGGAGACTTCTTTCAACTCTTCTTCGGCCTTCTGACCGTGGTAATATCCTTGATCCTGATTGTCGTCAAATGGGACAAGGTCAAAAGTACGTGAGAAGGTTGCGATTTCGTGAGCGCTGTGGGTCTTGTTCTGACCGAAAGCAGGGACTTTCCGTCGCCCACGTGCGATCGAGCCCGTGCTGCCAGTACACGATCGAGCCTTACACGCCACGTACATCTATCATGCTGGCATGAATGTCAACCAATTCTTTCTCTGGCATCCAAGATCGAATCCGTCTCAGCCCATGCCAAGATCCGAGGCGACCGAGTTGACACTACGAGGAGACAGATACGCGATAGGTCGTCACAGCACAGTGCCAGGAAACCGCCGCATCAGCTTAGTCGAGGAATTATAAATCTTGTGTGTTACTCATGTCGAAAATTGTTCGGAGACTCATTTGATCTCTGGTGACACGGAGCTTCTGATGGCGTTAAAGATCTGTCTTGATCTGACCCAGACAGGTCAGGGGCTGAAATAAGTCGCTCGACCTAGAAGTTGGCGAGGAGACGACAGTGTTGATTTTGATGAGGGCGAAGTCGCGTGCCATTTTCTACACATGTATTGTTAGCGGTCTGTATATTCCTTACCATTTGAAACTACAATGCTGAAGAGCTTCTGTTGTCCAAACACGTGATATCCCTGTTGTTCGGTCAAGAACACTGTCCATGCGTGCCTGTGGAGCTCCAATGCCGGTGCGCTATCTCCTACTTTGGCGCGTGCGAACCTGTGGTATGTACCGATTTCGTCAATGCAGCTCTGCTGGCAGAGACCCGCATGTCTGCCGCAAGCGCTCGCCTGACGTCTCTAGCGTGGCATGGCCGGTGCAATGCCGACTATGGTGGCATCAATGTGACAGTCGGGCTGCAGATGAAGCTGCGATGGAGTTGCAAGAAGGAGAAGTAAGCGGCAAAGAGCTCTGCTCTTCTCCTCGCTCGGCAGCGGGGATGGAGGACAAGGTTTGCGCTGTGTCGTGTGCTCCATTGCCTGTTTGGTCGAGAACGTGCCACCGCTCCATTGGCTGCCGCGAACATCATCGTCGGCCTCGAGTCCCGGGTGTGCTGTCAGCGTGCGAATGGGAAGTGAAGTGCTGGCATCGTGATTGAGGAATCATCGCTGTTGCAACAGCCAACTCTCTTATCGCGTCTCGCGTCTGACAGGCGCGTCGAAGGTTCTTGCCGAGCGCAGTGACGGCATTGGACACGCCACGGGCCAAGCGGCTCTGCCAAAGTTCGAAGGTGGATTCGAGCCGATCGGGGACGAGCGCGATCATCTATTTCTGCTGCCCGCTTGCCTTTCTTCTCCTGTCCATGTCTTCATAGCGGTCCATCATCCTGCCGAACACTCCGCCGCGCGTTCAGCTGTTGCACGACCGGCACAATGGCATCTCAGCAGCCACGCAACGGCATCTCCGCCATCGCAGGACCGGCTGCAATGGCGAAACCAGGATCGGCCGCAGAAGAAGCCAATGCCTCATCTGGTGCCGGCGCAGCGCCTGTACCCAAGAAGAAGCGCCATCGAGCGGGCAAGAAGCACAGAAAGAATCGAAGACAGAGTTTCATTGCCCCGTCCGAAGCTGCCACCGAAGACACCACCGACATGGGCGATCGGCCAAGCCTGCTCGATGCCTCCCATCAGGCGTCGCAGAAAGATAGCTTCTATCGTCTGCAGAAATCAGCGAGGAGGACGAGCGACACGAGCTTGGAGAGCGAGGCGCTGCTCGACCACCGCGAGCACGCACCGTTGAGTCGGAGGAGGGACACGATCAAGCAAGGCTTCTCGCGAGCTGTCCAGCCCTTTACACGGCATTCGCACCGCTCTTCTGATGCCTCCGCAAAGCCTGCTACATCTCGGTCACGGTTGGCACACGCCGAAGGAGTGGCCATTAGCGAAGACGAGGACGAGGATGGTGAAGGAAACAATGAACGGTCGCCATTGCTGGGAGTAAACAGATCTCGCAAGCCGCATCTCTCTCGCAACAACAGCACACAAGTTGTTGGCAGCGCACCGAATGGAGCTCGAGCCCGTCATGGATCTACACACTCGAAGGCTTCCTCGCGGAGATTACCTCCAGTGGAGATCCTGACTTCTGCTCGCAACAATATCGATGGCGAGCACGATGTCAACAACCCGCCTTCCGTTCCTGGATCGCCTACTATGGGAGGCATGGATGATGTGTATATGCATGCACTTGGCTCTAGCATGTCCGACCGAGGTAGGGATGCAGTCATTTCCATCGACGAGGACGAAGGGCGTTTCGACAGCCGATCTCCAGAGAGCATGCGGCGACGAGCTACTCTCGCACAATTGGCTGAGCGTGATGTTTGCTTCCCAGGAGATGACGACGAACACGGCGATGGGTCACCTCAACCACACCATGAAAACTCTGTCAAGCCTAGGAGGCGACGAGGAAGGAGGTTTCCAGATCTGGAGGTACTCGAAGAGTGGAGTCGAGAAGAGAAGGAAGAGCGTACGCAACAAGTCGTGCTTCGTGCAAAGAAGATAGCCGAGCCGGTCATGGTCGGCGGTCGTCTTCGCCCAGCAAAGACAGTGTGGCATCCCGAGGTCGATGAACGGCCTTTCAGATATACCTACTTCAACGACACTCTGGACGGCACGATCCATGCTAGAAACATCAGCGATCTGCAAGAAGATGGCGCTACGTTCCAAGATCTCTTCCTTCCAGACCCGATTGAGCTCAGTGACAGCAGCAGCGATGAGGACGAGGAAGAGAACGTGGCGGAACGTCCTTCACTGCAGAGGCATCATCGCGCTTCAAGCGATAGTGCCGTGAAGAATGTCGACGCATTTAGCCAACGTGGCGACAGCAGGGCGCCATCAGTGGCGCGAAATTCGACCATTGACAGTGTTGCTGCCAGCAAGAATGCCGCCGAGTCAGCGCCAGCTTCTGGCCACGCGACTCCCAGACCGCCGAAGAAGCGCTATGGGCCGCGCCCAACTTGGTGGCTGGATGTCCTATCGCCGACTGAAAGCGAGATGAAGGTCTTGTCTCGCACTTTTGGAATCCACCAACTGACATCGGAAGACATTCTCATGGATGAGCCGCGTGAGAAGGTGGAGCTGTTCCCGTCCTATTACTTTGTGAATTACCGAACATTCGAACAGGACAAAGACAGCGACGACTACATGGAACCGATCAACATGTACGTGATTGTTTTCCGAGACGGCGTACTCACCTTCCATCACTCGATGAGTCCACACCCGGCCAATGTTCGACGACGAATTCGACAATTGAACGACTACATGAACCCTACTGCGGACTGGATTTCGTACGCCATTATTGACGATGTTACGGATGTGTACGCGCCTCTGGTTACCGAAATCGAGGAAGAGGTTGACGACATCGACGAGGCAATTCTATACATGCATAGAGAAGCAGATCCCGAAGCCACAGAGGACAAGAAGGCAGCAATGATCGGGAAAGCAAAGACTCCAAAAGATGGCAGAAGGAACAGCGATGCCAGCAGCCAGAAAGGAGATGGAGAAGAGAAGATGAAAGGAGGCGACATGCTTCGACGTGTTGGGGGTTGCCGCAAGAAAGTCATGGGCCTCTATCGTTTGCTCGGAAACAAGGCCGATGTCATCAAAGGCTTTGCGAAGCGTTGCAATGAGCATTGGGAGGTTGCACCTCGTTCGGAGATTGGTCTCTATCTTGGTGATATCCAGGATCATATTGTGACCATGACGCAAAACTTGTCGCATTACGAGAGGTATGTCTTGCTCATCTACTTAGCCTTGCCGCTAAACAGTTTTACTGATATTGTCTGCTAGTCTCCTCTCCAGAGCTCACAGCAATTACGTCGCCCAAATCAATATTCGAATGAACGAACGCGCCGAATCGAACGCCGATGTCCTCGGAAAACTCACTGTCCTCGGAACGATTGTCCTTCCGATGAATATCATTACCGGAATGTGGGGTATGAACGTCTGGGTTCCTGGACAAGAATACGAGGGCGATTTGACGTGGTTTTTCTGTATTACCGCTGGTTTAATCGCTTTTGGTCTGGTTTGTTATTTTGTTGCCCGGAAGGTGTATGGTATTGTCTGAGGTACAACAATTTCTGGCCGAGTGTGTGTAAAGGGTATGGATGAAGTGGGAGGGGAATGGACGGAATAGGGTGCGCTTTCATTCTTCTGCTGAGTTGGAATTGTGTACAAGAATATTCGGGATCGGAAGCGAGGCGTTTACTGGTTGGGAGCAACTACAGCAAGCAAGTATAGACAAATTCTTCTGAGGAGAAACGGGCCTGGGAGTCTTGGATGAATATAGAATACCATGAGCAAGATACAATTGCTTGGAAGAGACAGACAAACAGAATGGTAGAACAGTACTGAAGATATGTGCATTGCTTGACGACGTCTCTTTTGCTACTATCGGATACCGTGTCGTCGTGAATGGAATAGTCTGGCAATTTGCTACACTCCATTGCACTGAGTCTTCTGTTTGGTTTGTACGCAATCATGATATTTGTCTTTTCCTTCTCAGGAGGCCATATAATGTCTCTCCATACCCAATTTTCTGCCATGCAGTCCGTTGTGATCTTCAGACGACCACCATCAACAACCCTTTCCCAAGCCAAAAATGTCCTCCTCTCCTCTCTCACGCCTCGATGCCCAAACAGACTTAGCCCTCGCCATGTCCGATCTAAGTGTCCTCTACAAACAACGAAACGAACTCCTCGCCGTCGCAAAAGCCGACAAAAACGTCTCCTACATCCTCGACGTCATGCCAGAGATCAACTTCATAGGCTGGGGGAACGCCCAAACTTGGACAGAAACCGTCCAAAAAGCCAAAACCGAAGCTTGGCAGTATTCCATCGAGCAGGCGAAGTTGGAGATTCAAATTATGAAAGCCGTAGAGAGAATGAGGGATGTGAGGAGTACAATGGAGAATTATTATAACAGTATGCAGCCGCCGGTGGAGATGCCGGATCAGGAGTTTGTGGAGGGTATCCAGAGGATGTTGAGAAAGGCGGGAGGGTTTGGGGAGGAGGACAGGAGGAAGTTGTTGGATAAGGTTGTTGAGTCGGCGGAGCAGTTGGAGAGGGTGGCGAGGGAGAAGGGATTCCCAGTTGGCGGTGGTGGCGGGGTTGGGCCCGGTGGGAGGTGATGGGAATGTGCTAGAGGTGCTGATTGATTGGTTTGTCGATTCCAGCACCACAGTTTCTGATGGCTCCAGTGTTCAGACTCTCAGCAACTCTGCACCGTTGTCTCAATGGGAAGAAGCTCCTGTTGTAAGATTTGCACGATGTCTCGCGATCTGCAGTGATTTAGCGAGAGACTTCTTCTGTACCTGTTTTCTTTGTTGTGGTGAAACAAGCAATCAGGCTTCTAGCTCGCTATCGGACGTTCGCATGTTCCACGAGTGTCTTTTCCAAGTTCGCCCAGATATCGCTCAGCGATTCGTTAACGACCCTGCTCAGGACGAGCTCTGCACTCAATTCAAACGTGCCCGAGTCCGCCGCAATCTGCAGATTACGGGTACAAATATAGGGGGTAGCTTTGTAGTGTTCGTCTTCATCATTTGCTTCGTAGCTGAGTCTGGGGGTGGGGGGCCGCCTATGACACGTTCCTAGCTTGAGATCCAATGTGTGTGGTACTTTGCCTTATCGCGCCATTCTCATAGCCCCATCCAATCAGGCTGAAGCCCCTTGCAATCGGAGCGGAAACTTCAATCAACCAAGCGATACAACATCGCATTCCCGCACGATTTGCAAGTGTAGTCAGAAATCTCGTTCAGATAGTCATCCGTGAATTTCCTGACAATGTCGAACAGCACCGATTCTTTGTTTTTCTGAGATCGACGCGAACCTGCCATTTTGCGCAAGCTACAAGCGCACAGAACGCGTTTGAGTTCCCCGTGTTCGTCGTTCGCATGTTGTTCCAAAGTGACCTCGATCTTGTTCTGAGACGTCAACTGACACGTGAGCCAGGCAGCAGAGGCGAAGACAATACGTTGATCATCGTACGTTTGCAATGTCTTGCCTACTCTCCACATCCCAATCGCCTTCATTTGGGCAGCACTGAGCTTCTTCGCCAGAGAGCGAACGGCATATTCGGCCCCAACTCGAGGCCAATGCGACATTATCTCTGCCGCGGTCGGTAAACGCAGATGAAGAGTGTTCTCGCCGTAGTAGATGGATAGTGCTTCGTTGCGGATGGTTTTGCAGACGCTCAAGAGTTGGGGTTCGCGTGGCAGACTCGCAGTCCAGACAGTGCAGGAGCCTCCTTTGCTTGTGTCAGGAACTTTTTGGGCATCGACCTTGATTGTAATGACCGACTCAGGTGCCATGAGACAAAGGCGATAAATGCGGTTTCGAAGCTCTCCAGGTAGTTCCAGAAAGAGACACTTCAGTTGGTCTTCTTCGTTCTCAGCTTCCATCGTGAAGCTGAGGGCTGGCGACTCGAGATGAGTCTATGTTTCGATTGGCGGAGCTGTTTCGACCTTGCGACAATGAGATGGCGGCTTCGAATATACGAGATCCAATGTAAACAAGTTGTTAGTCAGGCACAAAGTACCAAACAAACTGATACGTGAATAGGCAGCGACCGGAAGTGGCTGGGTTAGCGTCTTGGCATCGATGTCGGCATGGGGCCCACCAGTGCTCACTTGCAACCTCATATGATCCATCACGTAGGAAAACTGAAGGAGAGGCCGCTGGACATCTCACCCGACCCGCCGCAATGGCATCCTGTCAGTAGCCACGCACTGGAGCAGTATAATGGCTCGTACAGTCGGTGTAGCGTCAGAGATGATCGGCCTTCGTGTCGAGCGCCCAGGGTATCTCCTCGAGTATAGTCAGCCAACCCGGATTTGTATCACATTCTCCAAGCGGAGACACTGGCAAAAGATCTAGCTCTCCTCAACCTGTTGCCTGCCGACCATCACGCCAATGTTTAGCTCAGCATTGTGCCACGTTTTGCATATGGAGACATCAGCAGGAGATGTAGGTGTCTCAGACCTTCCATCTATATGCCATGACACCAATATCCAGGGGGGTTTTTTTTTTGGCTTTGTATCTGCTCCTACAACTGGAGAGCTCCTGTTGAGATTCATATGTCTCCAATTGATTGTCAGCTGGCCATCGTGACTGTGTTGAAGCAGCTTGGCCGGATGTCTTCTTCAGGAATCAAAGAAGCATCAGCAATAATTCATCTCTCTGACAGGCCGCAAAGACATGCCCTCGCCCTCGGCCAGCCCACATAGCATTGATCTGGCATTGCGCTTGGAGAAAGCTGTAGGCCAAGTAAATGCTCGGAAAATTCGACGCGACCTAGTTCCAAGCAGAGTTCAACGGATGAGCTGCGGACAGGATCTCATAGTCAGAAAGACTGTTGCATGGATTCATGTCTCTGAAGTATCGTAGATCTGTAGTCCTGTCTGAGCATCAAGGCACCAAGCGTGTCCTATGGTTCGAGAGGCATGATGAAGCCGGAGTGTTCGAGTCGGATTGGAGTTTTCCGGCACTCCCTCTGGACGGTGAACCGGTCACAATACCGGCTTTAAAGTCGGAGCAGCGATGAACAGGAAGGGAGGTCTCGCGCGGTAGAAGGGCTTGGATGTATGCTTACAATGTTCGCTTCCGCCTGGGGACAAGGTGCTTGGCTCAAGTCGTGTCAAGCGATTCGCGACTGTTCGGCATGATCCTCTTCGCTACTGAAGGAGCGGCAATAGTTTCGAGGATAAAGTAGCGAAGGACGCTACTCATGGATGTCCAGCTTGCCGATCCTAGGGAAACAAGAGGTTTGTAGCCATGCTGAATGACAATGGCTACAGGCACGGGCGTCCACACTGCAGGATTTCGACAGCGCCTCAGCCGGAGCTCGTTCAATTGCTGTACGCGCAGGGCGCTGGATGGACAATGCATCGCGAGCGCGATTGCAATCAACCGTCACAGTGGCCTAGAGCACACCATTGGCAAAGATGAGCGGCGGATATGATCTGACTTAATGGGCCAGCTCCGATGGACCTCTCGGGAGACCAAAGGTCTGCTTGCAAATTGCCACTCTAGCAGGTCGCGATATCCTCCCACAGAGGTAGGTGCGTGGCGTCTGAGCGGCCGAATTTCTCCAGCCTGCTCTTGCCACATTGGCGACAGAAGCATTCATGTACATTATCGCGATACGAATCACTGTACTCTTTCACCAGTTCGAGGAGCACAGCACCATCTCTTGTGGCCTGCATTTCCACACCACTCTTCAAACGGCAAGTACATCTCGGTTCGCCATTCCTCTCGAAGTGCAGTTGTCCCTTGCGAACAACACATATCTCATATCTGGCATCATCTGCTAGGCCCTGGTCGTTCCACGCATAGCATCGCCCATCGACTCCCATACTCAGGCGGGCAAGATATCTGACGTAGGGTCCGAGCAGTTCGTTCCATCGAGAGATGCGAATGTCGAAATCGTACATCTTTACATGCTTGGGATGATGGTATCCTATCTTGCCAAGGAACCAGCTATTCTCAGAGTAGTAGATGCTGAGGGCCTCGTTCCGAATCTGCTTGCACACGAACGCTACAGCAGGCTGATGCAGCTTCTGCACTTCAGATCTGCAAAGAGCTTCGACAGCAAGGTCGCCACCGGAGAGCACCAGTTCGCGCCAAATCTTGTTCCTGAGTTCTCCGGGAAGCGAGAAGATATTGGTTGCCGGCATCGTGGCTCCTCAGATCAGTTCCAGCTGATTCCCTCCACTATGTGATGTGTCGTCCAACGACTTGGTATGTTGAATCACTTGAGCGAAAGTGAAGAGCGAGACAGATCGCGCAAGGAACCCTCCGTTCCATCCAGGCCAGGACCCTAATTGAAGCATCTCGGTCTTGTGTCCGCAGACCACGTCGTCAATCTGCCTCGGCCTGCATTCGCTTAAGTGCATCTAGCGGGCTAGAACACACGAAGTCGGTGCGTAAAGAGCAATTAGTACCCGACCGGAGCATCAGGAACCGGTTCCATGGCCAACGGTCGTATATATCCCGCATTGTCGACTGCCCATACCGGCGCATACCGTCATTCCACTTCTCTTCTGAGCTGGCCAGACTTTGGACAGATAGTTCATGAGCCAATTGGCTGGTTTTGCGGTCACCCAAACCCCATCAGACACATCTCATCAATTTGCTTCCGCATTTCTGGTGTACTGTTGTGCCCAAGAATGGGGTGATGTTCATGCCAAATTGATTTCCGGAATTCCGGCTATATCTCCTGAGGTGGTCCCTGCGAGCTGAAGTCCGACGTGGATCTCGGTGAGAAGAGCGAGCCCAGATCTGCCGTGGGCCTGAGGCATTTCGCTGGCACGCAAAGGAAAGGGCGGTCGGTGTTCGGGCGAGTAGCCAGCAGCAGCAAGGACGATAAATGCTTCAGGCACATCGTTGAGCCGGATATACCAGGCTTCGCAGATGTCGGTCCTGCAAATCAAGAGTTAAAGCCAGCTGGAAGTTCACAAGGTAAGGAGATCAGCTGTGATGGTCGTACTTGCAATCACATCGGACAGCGAGGCGCTCCTGCAGTGTTGACTATCGATTAAGAGGCATGAGGAAAGGCTCTCCATCGACAGGACATTTGCCATGTCGAATTTTGGTTTGAGGACCTGCCCGTTGGGTCGACGTGCTGTCTTCGACCTGAGCAGATGGAAGTCGACGTCTCTGGTTCTCTTTCGTCAATCCTTATATACGTACGGTACCCATTTTGCAGCCACCAAGTCAGAGGCGCTGGATTCAGCGAGCTCTTTGAGCTTGTCTGAACCACAGTACTTTCTGCTCCCACGTCTGATATTTGGCACAGCTGTTCAAATGAGGCAGTATGGAAGAGTGCATTTGAGAATACAGGAGAAGTATCGAACATATTCTCCATTGCCTTCAACTCTGTGGAACTCATCCTCACAGATCCAACACTGGCGAGGGTCCGTGCTTTACCAGGCTTCCCATGCACGCTGTCACGGGCGATCGCTCCATGGATAAGCACAACATCATCATCGTAACAGGAAGCTGACTATGCGATGAACAAAATCTCCGCCACATCATACAACCGCGAACAAGCGTCCAGTATCCGCGTGCAGCCAAGCATGTCCGTCTCTTCGTATACTCTTCGAGCAAGCAAGCCGAGCTCCGCACGCGGCCAAGCCTGTGCGCGGGTCGCGGATCATCCCTACCAAGACTTTTTGTGGCTTAATCAAGAAGGTAACATCGCAAAGACGAGGGCCAAGAGCACGAACAAGACTTTGCAGAGATAGTCCATCTTCTATCTTCTGAAGCTGGTTGGTGGCAGAAAGAGATATGGGTCCATCGCAGAGCGGGATACGCAAAACTGATTGCTCCTCGCGTGACGGCATCGTGGTACTGTCGTGCAGATCGCCAAAAGGTAACCTTTATATGATGGGGAGCCACAGGACGCCCCGGGAGAGTAGGTAATAGAGGTTTGTTGCTTCATATTCTCTCTGTTGCTGTCTTCTTCTAAAGCAGCCAACGATGGCATTGACAAAGCTCCTGTCGTTCGGCGCGCTGCTCTCACTCACAGCTGCCATCGATCCACCCCGACAGCCGAGACAACCGCTAGGAAACGGCGAGAGACGGCTTACCTACAACGAGACCACGCCGACCGCCCTCAATCGCGCGACCTCGCAAACCGTGAGCTGGATTTCAGGCGAGCAGGATGGCTCATTCGTCACTGTTGCGAATGGCTCGCTCGTCCTTGAGAACATCGTAACAGGCAACTCCAGCGTGTTTGTCGCAGCAGATCGTGTGCCTGAGGACTATCACGAGTACTGGATCAGTCCAGATCAAGAGCGCGTATTATGGGCAGTGAACTACACGAAGCAATACAGATACTCGTACTTCGCCGATTATCTCGTACAGGACGTGGCCAGTGGAGAGACAACACCACTTGTTGCAGACCAAGTGGGGGACATCATCTATGCAGAGTTCGCGCCAACTGGCAGTGCCATTGCATTCGTGCGTGGCAACGACCTCTACATTCATGACAACGGCGAGGTCAGCAGGATCACAGAGAATGGTGGTCCAGATCAATTCAATGGTATCCCAGACTGGGTGTACGAGGAAGAGATATTTGGAGCACGCAAGACATTCTGGTTCTCGCCAGATAGTGCCTTCGTTGCGTTCTTGAGCTTCAACGAGACTGGAGTGGGGACTTTCACAATTCCCTACTACATGGACAATCAAGATGTGGCTCCTCCGTACCCACGAGAGCTGGATCTCAGATATCCCAAGGTCGGCACAACGAATCCCACTGTGCAGTTCAACATTCTCGATGTGGCCACCAAGGAGTACTCCGAAGTGCCAATTACTGCTTTCTCAGCTAACGACACTGTCGTTGGCGAAGTTGCCTGGATCACTGATGAGCATTCCGCAGTCGTCTACCGAGCTTTCAATCGCGTGCAAGACCAAGACAAACACGTCGTGGTCGACCCCGTGGCGAAGACATCTGAAGTCGTTCGAGAGCGAGATGGCACAGACGGCTGGTTGGACAACAGCCAGGCCATTCAGTACATTGGCTCAATCAGCGGAGGCAACAGCACTGGCACTTACAGCAACTCCAGCAGCGATTCGTACTACATCGATCTGTCCGATGAGAGCGGCTGGATGCACATCTATCTGCATTCGACGTCTGGCGGCGAGCCTGTGCAATTGACTTCTGGCGAGTGGGAAGTTGTTGCGATCCTCAAGGTTGACACTGCTCGGAATCTGATTTACTATACTTCTACCGAGCACCACAGCACTGAACGCCACGTTTACTCGATCAACTATGCTACTCGGGAGAAGAAGGCTATCGTTGATGACACTGTGGACGCATACTGGTCTGCATCGTTCTCGAGCGGCGGCGACTACTATATCCTCTCCTACCAAGGCCCAGACGTCCCATACCAAGAGGTCTACGCCACGAACACCTCCGAACCACTTTCCACCCTCGTCAGCAACGAAGCTCTAGTCCGCAACATCTCTCAACTTCACCTCCCAAACATCACCTACTTCGAACTCTCCCACCCCGAAGGCTTCACCCTCAACGTCATGCAACGCCTCCCACCCAACTTCGACCCAAGCAAGAAATACCCAGTCCTCTTCACCCCCTACGGCGGCCCTGGTGCCCAAGAAGTCTCCAAGCGCTTCCAAACTCTCGCCTGGCGCGCTTACATTTCTTCGGACCCAGAACTGGAATACATCACCTACACAATCGACAACCGCGGAACAGGCTACAAAGGTCGAGCTTTCCGTAGCACAGTCACTAACCACCTCGGACGTCTTGAACCTCAGGATCAGATCTGGGCAGCTCAGCAGTTGATCGCTCAAAATTCGTTCATTGATGCGGAACGTATCGGAATGTTTGGGTGGTCGTTTGGTGGGTATTTGACAGCCAAGGTCCTCGAGGCCGATTCCGATGTCTTCTCTTTCGGCTTGATCGTTGCGCCTGTCAGTGATTGGCGATTCTACGATTCGATGTACACGGAACGGTATATGAAGACCTATGAGCAGAATCCGGCTGGGTACAATGAGACTGCAGTCAGGAAGGCCGATGGATTCAAAAATGCTCGGGGAGGGTTTGGATTACTTCATGGATTGGGTAAGTTTTCCTCAAATTATCTCTAATGTTCTTGGATGATCTGCTAACTACGATCAAAGGTGACGACAATGTACATGCAAGTCTCTCCACGCCCCTCAACCGAATCTATGAAAGTTGCTGATTTGTTTGTGACTTATAGTATCAAAACGCCGCAGCTCTCGTCGACCTCCTCGTCAGCGAAGGTGTCAGCCCAGAGAAATTCCAAATGATGGCCTTCACAGACAGCGATCACAGTATCGTGTACAACGGAGCGAATGCTTGGCTGTACAAGTATCTGACTAAGAGGCTATGGGATGAGAAGCAGAGGAAGACGGATCTGGTCGAGCAGACTCATCAGTGGCTGAAGAAGAGGAGCCTTGTGGGAGAGCAGTAGCGACCATATTGACAGCTTCCCAAGGATATAGGTATATCCAGTAGAGAACGATCACAGCGTTTTGAGGAAGATCGCAATACTGACGTTTGAGCATATTTCTCGGCATTTCTTGGCATCTAACTTCATCGTGAGTGGGCAATCTCTCTGTCCACAGCTACCGCCTCGCAACAACGTCGATCTGATGCTGTGCAAGTTACCGGAGATACTGCTCTCATTTTGTCTACGAGATTGCATGTTCTGATCCTCAAGCAAGCGTGATCTTCGAGGCCTCATCCATTTCATTCCAGAACGCTACCCCTAACCCGGCCGCCCGTCGCTCTGCTATATCAAACTAAGGAATTAAGGGTAAATTGACCACCAAAGACCTCAGAGTCAGGATATAGCACATTTAGGACCTGAACGAAAACATCCACCGAACGAGCACCTCAACATTGTAACAATTGAAAGCAGTTTCTCATTCATCGTAGTCTGGAGCTGCTTTCATGCTTCGATGCCGCAACAAACAGATATCAAATAAGTTTCCCAATGGACATCGTGTACGATGCGAGAACTCTTATACCGGACCGTAAAAGCGCCAAAAGCGTGGTTCGCGCGACGCGCGAACATTATATCGTGACTATCGTGTCGTAGAGGAATCGGGCCGAGGACCTGTCCCGGGGATATAGCGGTTCTAGACTGGTCCCGTCTATGTCTTCTACGACCTCAGCTTATGTGCATATCAGGAAGAGGTTGCACATTGACGTGTGGCAGATGAGAATTGCATGAGGAAGCATCACATTCGACTCGTTGAGCGGGGTCAGATCACGAATGCTTATCCGTAAGCATGCAACAGACTGCATGAACAGAGAAAGAGGAAGAAGAAAAGGACAGACCACATAGTGATCAGGTGTCGTATCTTTCAATGATCCGACGGGCTAGACTAACTAACAACTGTACTGTATTGCACGATCATCACCTTCGTGCCGGAGTTTATTGGCTTCTGCGCAATGTACCGCAGCATACCCTTAAGGCTTTTCTATAGATGATTTGGGGAGTTTTGAATACATCCTCTGCAATTGAGCGACTTCAAACGCTGGGCTTGAGCAACTTCAAAAGCTGGGCAATGAGAAAGAGATCTCTCTCTGAACGATGTGATGTCCTAAAGGATCGACACGGCAACATTGCGAGTGATCGCCTACCATTGAGCAGCCGATATATTCAAGGCAAATGGATTTGCAACTGGGGTCCGAGCGAGCAATGTAGCTCGATGTGAGCATGAATGGACAACATGAAGCTATGCCGGGCCGACAAGAACTCGTATACCACCGTCGTAGTGTATTCGCTGGTCAGTCAGGAGATCTAATAATCAGGGAGGAGTATAAAGAACTCCCTCTTCTTCTGCGATATATATTGCTCAACAACACTTTCTCTTTTCCAAACAGATTCTACCACCATCACTCACTCTCATTCCAGTAGAATTTCCATCTGTCGGATTGGCATGGCATAGTAGCCACCTCGCATGAACCGGAATTAGCCCTAACTGCCGGTTCTTCCGTTCCGGCAGTAGTATATAGAGCCAGCTCGTTCGCTACCTTCTATAGAATTAGACATCTTTATTATACCGACTTTAACACTTAATCGAATACTCTCTATAGAGGAGCCTACCTATACTAATT